GTCCATTAATTAACAGCACAAGGACTCCACGTCATTATTTTTCACAGATCTCAACTGTGTTTCCTCCTCCCAGGTGCTCATATCCGTGAGGTTCTTCTACAAGGCGTAGGTCTGTCCTGTTCAAGCGTCGCAAAGCCCGCTTCTGACTACTTGTCTGCTTTAGTGGACAATGCCATGGTGCTTGGAGTCAGAGACACATCACTGAGCAGGTGAAATGGGTTTTTTGCGCAGTAGTTTTTCAGATGAAAGAGAGAAAATAGAAGAGAGATTTAACAGTTTGTATTTTATGTGTTGTCTAGCTTCATGCCAGCTGTAAACAACCTCACCAATGAACTGCTGGAAGAAGAGAAGTCCAACAGGAGACTTGAGAGGGAACTCGGGGCCCTCAGGAAGAGACTGGGGACCACTCTGGTGCTGCGGAGCAACCTACAAGAGTAAGATAAGATAGGATTTTATTCATCCCGAAGGAAATTGTTGTGCCAGAGTTACAAAAATACAATAAACACAGCAGCACAATAATAATAAAACTGTACACTAACAGTGCAGTAAAAAGAGCAATTCAATAACTACAGGAAACATAGATGGTCACATAATGGTCACATAATTAATGTAAATATTCTTAGTATTTAGTAGTGCACAAACCGTAGTGGTAGTTACGTAATTGCACGTTATTTATCGAACATTATCAATAATAATAATATTGCACATGTTATATAGCAGAGTGTTTTGTAATGATGGTAATGGTATTTATATTGCACATAGTGGTGGTGTGGAATTTCTCAGTTCCCTTTACTGAAGGGTGAAGAAGGTTTAAGAACTAAATACAGAGGATATTCATACTAAAAACAAACACAGACATTGCTGCTACATAATGTATGTCATTGTAATCCGTGTTTTTAATTGTCTTCAGGGATATCAACAAAACGATCAAATCCCAGTCAGTGGAGAGCGCCGAAGCCGAGGAAAAAATGTTCTACATGGATTTTGTGAGGGCAAAGGCTAAAGAGCTCAGCAGCAGACGGGAGAGGGCAGAGGTACGCTGTGGGGTTCAATCTTATCTGCATGAGCTGCATAATGCATTGTGGTGCCAAGTCATGGTACAATATTGACTACTACTATTGAAAATGATAAGATAGATAGATACTTTATTGGTAAATCATTTCGTGTGTTCAGACTTTATAATACAATACTTAAAATACTGGGGGGAGAAAAGTAGAAAATGCAAATAATTCAAAAAATATATAAGAGTTTTTACATTTCTAGCTGTTTTGTTTCAAATCTTAATACCTAAGTGGAAGGTTTGCTCTTAGGCCAATTTGTACTAATGGAAACTTGCTATTAGGGTTGCAAAGGGGCGGAACATTTCCGGTAAGTTTCCGGTAAATTTCCATGGGAAGTTAAGCTGGGGGAATTTTGGAAATATTCCATATTGAAAACCTTCCATGGGAATTTATGGGAACTAACTTGGAATTGAGGGTAATGTAATCGAATTGTATCATATCCAAGCATAAATATAAACACTTTGTTTTGTCATAAGAAGACATCCATTCAAAATGATACAATTTAAAAAAAACATGACATTTCAACAGATTTATTTCTAAGTAGAACAGAACAAGTTTTTATTGTTTTATTGAACAATCATTTGTTTCATTGAAGAACAAAAATATGAATGTTGAGTTAAATATTACTCATCCCCCCCAACCCCACTCATTCAAAAATGAACAAAAATGCACCCCCCCATCCAAAAATCCCCACAAGAAATCATGTGTGCATGTGATGGAGGAATGCACAGTGCCTGTAGGGGGTGTGGTCTCAATAGCCATGCAGTAAGCAGTGTGCTATGTGCATGTGATTGAGGAATGGCATGGATATTCAAGTGTACTTGAATGGCATCTGTTTGTTTTAGTCAAGATTATGCTAAAATATACTTTCCCAACTATATTTAAGTACCCTATGAAGAGCCAACCTTCAATTTAGAAAATTCCCAGTTTATTCCCTTAAATTCCCGTTAATTCCCATGGAAAGTTTCCATCTTTGAAAATTCCTTGAAAAGGTTTAAATGAGTTGTGTCCTTAGAGAAAATGACAATTAACACAAGCCAATTGAATTCCAATGAGAACATGTAGAGTGATGAAAGGGCATTTTGAAAACTCTCTTCCGGTATCTAGCATTGGGAGAGCAGTAAACTTTAGGATGCTAAAAATGGAATGTCATAGTGTTCATCTATACTCAACCAGTACAGCGCCATCTAGTGGGCAATAGAGATCAATAAATGGCCAGATGGTATGATAGAATACTTTTTTAATGAAATGTGCTCAGGGTTTGACAAAATGAAAAGAAAAACTAATTTCTATTACCAGTTACACATTTGATCAACATGCCAGCTTTTTTTGTTACAATCACGAGTGGGCCTTCAGCTGCAAAAGGTTGAGAAACGTGGTCATAGCATAATTTTATTTGTAGAATTATTGTTTCAAAGCTTAATCTTGTTGCAAAATACCAAATGTGCCGAGTTGGCTGTTTGAAATAGCAAATAACTCCCTGGCCCAAACAGTTCTTTTCACTTCATTTTTGATAATAAATACCGACTGTAGTGTGACCCGGGTGTCAAGAGGGCATCACGTTACTGCCTCTGGTTCAGAGCGCAGAGATGATGCTGCGGACGAGTCCAACAGTTAACGCCCTCGGGATCATTGTCAGGAAACACCGGATATTTTTAATATCACAGCGGGGGTGACGGAGCTCAGTGTGTGAGCCTGGCTGGATGTTTGATTCTCTTCTCTCCATCCTTCAGGCTCAGCTGGTATCCAGGAACATGGACAAGTCTCTCACCCACCAGGCTATTGTGCAGCTCTCTGAGGTAACTTCAGCTGCTACGCGTCAACACAGTGCAGCACCATGGTGATGAGAACCTAAAACGTTCTGCTTTCAGGGGTTGTAATGCGTCGTCTTATCTTTCTCTCTGTAGGAAGCCACAGCACTGAAACAAGAAATAATCCCCTTGAAGAACAAACTGAAGCCTTACATGGACTTAAGCCCGGTAAAAAAGCCTGGTGTTTTTCTTGTTACAGTTCAACAAATAGATATATCGAAACAACTTGATTGTCTGTATTTAACTTTATGTTCTTACCCTTCTAATCCACAACAGAGCCCATCTCTCGCTCAAGTGAAAATAGAAGAAGCAAAAAGAGAATTGGTGAGTATCGTAATAGTTTATTTAAAGATGGATGAGAGGTGCTGGCTTTCTCTTTATTGTAATTCCAATGTGTTTCCTCAATTACAGGCTGCAATTGATTCCCAACTTCTGATGAATATGGATTTAGACTTATGATGTTTTTAATGTTAAAGGATTTACTGTTTTGAGCTGTAGATTGACTGTGCTTTAAAGTCATTGTTTCTACGTCTATGCTGTGTGCCTCTTTGTAATGTGTCCCAAACTAATCACATGACTGTCTGCCTCTCTTGAAGGTCTTAAGTGAATAAAGCAACCTCCATAGACAGGGGATGTGCTTTGTCGAGAAAGTTTGAATTGTGATTCCTCTTGTTTTTCGTTTGACCGATTTGGTTTCTCTCCCCCTCTTCCTGTTTATTACAAAACATCATTAAAAATAATCAAATATTTTGTCTTCATTTTCTACTATCTGATTTCTGATTGTGGCGGTGTGACTTAACATGGGAACATTTTCTTTTATCCAAGTTTGTTTGTAAGACAATTTATAAATCTCTTTGCCTAAACATATTTTTATATTTCTTTAGTGTGTTCAAATTAGCATTTTAAAGGAATTATATGTTTGCAATATGTTTTAGATTGTCTTCTATACCAATATCTTAATGTACATGTCAAGACATGTTGTTTATTCAAAATGTAGATTGTTGTCATGATCCATACAATTGGACAAAACTCCATACGTTTTTTTAACTGGGTTAACTTAGACTGCAAATGTCAGGACTTTTTCACAAAAAGCACAAGACATGCATCTTATAATGATGTGCTGAATCTTGTCTTTAAACACAAAGTGCAGGATACTTTTTTTTTTTCAGTTTGACAACAAAATTCCACAGGCTTTGGAGGGATAACAGCACATGAAAGAGGGTTTGGAGCCACTCCCTGGGTGCCTAAAGCTAAAGTAGAGAGAATGGGAGTGACTAGGGGGCCTGCTGTCCGGTTTGTATGCAAAATATCACCTCAGTTCCTCCCCCTGCCAGTCTTCCCCCTGAGGAGCTGAGCGTGGGGGCCAACGTCTCCGTCAGTTTGACTGTTGTAGGTCTGCGCCTCAGTCTGACATGTAGAGTGATCGGTTACCATGGTGTGGGTCATGGATGTGGGCCCGGGAGCAATTTACCCAGTAGGCCCCCTGCTTCATTCAAAAGGCACGACGGATAGGGCATCAATACTTTATAAAAGGAAACAGAATCAAAATGCAACTCCACTGAACTTAACTTGGGACACAGAGACAACGCATAATTAACAGTTTGACTTGTTTTCATCAATGGCACTATTTTTGGATTAAAGGATTGCCATCTTGCTGTAACAGTATTTTTTCTTTCTCTTCCAGGAATAAAACTATTTCTATATATATGACTGTTTATTCTTAAATATCCACAGCTTTTTGTTCATTAGCACATGTTAAAATCAAACAACGGCATGTAAATACATTACAAATAAATATGTAGAGACAATTTAAAAAAAAGACCCAAATGGCTACATAATGACCTCCACCTAAATATAATTAACCAATGCACAAAGAAGTTGGCTGTATAGGCCTGTCAGTCTGTGAAAGAAGGGAAGGAAACACACACAATCCTCACAGAATGAAAGCACCATAATCCAGAAGGTAAACAAGTGCCTCATGGGGGAAAAAAATAAAAAAGGTCTTTGTCAGTGCGTCATACCATGGACTGTGTCGCGCCTCTTCCCTTTAAAATAGTTGTATCCGCCACGCCCACACCATAATTCCCACTCAGCTGCTACTGTAAATTCTCCCAGTTCCCACATGAGTCCATACACACAATGTGCGGGTTTGAACAGTAGCAGACTGGAGTATCACTACGCATCAGATTAACCCCACGTCACTATTGACCAACTTGTTGCGCAGCAGCTATTTCTAACCTCCTCTGCGCGCGCTGGGCTTCATTTTCTGTCCAGCAAGAGTCAAGACAGATGGAAGAAGCGGTGGCTTTCAAACCTTACGTTTTATAATGCGTATGTTACAAGAAGAGGACGCTTTTGTGTGGATTTGAATGAAGTCCTGCAGCCCTCAGTGAATGTTTGAGTGTCTTTAATATGATCAGAGAGTCATGAGCCGCGGAGCAGACTGGAGCCTCAGCCTCTTCTACCTGACTCTGCTCCTGGGGACCAGACGCATGACGGGACTGGCTGACTTCTCAAGTAAGAGACGATGAGGATGAGGAGGATGATGAGGATGGGGGTGCAGTGGAAGGGGGAAGAGCATACTTGAGGATAGCATTGGTTAAAGACAGTGGTGTAAAGTAACTTAGTACATTAAATCAAGTACTGTATACTAGATCGAGGAACTTGTTGTTTACTTGAGTATTTTAATAATTGCTACTTTTTACTTCTTCCCCACTACATTTATTTAATAGCTTTAGTTATTTTTTTTTGATTGATTTGATATGTTCTACACTCAAATAAGACTGTAGTTATGCCTGGAATAACATTGAACATCTACCCTGCAGTATACAAAACTAGCTGCACCATCTTTGATAAACATATTCATATTCAAAATATATATATGAAATGTTGTACATGATCTGAGAACTTCTCCCAGAACTGTTTAAAGATCACATGAACCCTTCTGTTATAAAAAAGGCTACATTGATGTAGTGAAACATATTTGCACAATGTCATCGATAAGGTAGTTTTAGTCGGTTTTCCCCATTTTTGCAAGTGTTTTTAAATAGCCTATACATACCCCTCCTCCCCCCTCCCCCAACCCCCCCACAATGAATATCGACCAATCACGTTCTTGCTTGATTTGCGGGACCAGCGTTGCAGTCGGGAAGAAAAGCAATGTGGAGCAGCACCTCACCACTTCATAAGGAGTTTAACCGTGACACTTTTCGAAATCCCGTTTGTGTCCCCCCACTATACAAATATGTTTATTATTATTTTTTAACGCAAGCCGTCACCGCCACGGAGGAGCACACAGCCTCTGTTGCGGCTTTCACACCAGCGCTTTTCACTTTCTAGCTCCTCGCGAGAGCTTTTCTGGTTCAGCTCCCGTTTCCCTTTTCAGCTCCCGCTCTGTTCACACTGCCCAGAGCTGCCGCTGCTGCGTCATGACGTCACAGTTTACGTCGCTGATTTTCTCCCACAACAACAACGGGCCGGGGACTGCATCGGGTCGATGATCGTGTTGCTTTTAATCATACGAAGCCAGATTAAATTAAATAACGACTTCTCCAACCTTATACTTTTCTCCAGAGTGCCGTGGTTCATTGTTTATTAATGTGTTTCAGCGGCATTTACCGACCGCTGCAGTGCTGCTCTTCCACGGGAGTTTATTCTCCCGTTAGCTCCGGGTTAGCTCACACGGCTCTAAAGTATTCACTGTCTGACTGTCACACAAGCAGCTGATACATATCCCCAGTTCCCCTTAAGTGAATGTGTGTCAGTCTGAATTGACGCTGTTTGGCATCACAACGCTGTTATGAAAGTTTCTCTGGTATAACATGGGTGATGTTAGCATAGCAACCGAAGCTAAACTGACTACTTGCTAAGCCGTTTCCTATAGGCACATTTTACCGGCGTATTTTTCATTATGATTCTACTTCTGATAGTCGGACATGACAACCTGTATAGCCCATGTATCTCCACAATGATCAATAACAGCGAACGGATGGTCAAAGTAAGGTTTCCTGCACGCCTCGACGTAAGAGACGTAAGCGACGCCGCGTCATAGCTCCGAAGCTCTTGCCTCTGGACCGACAATTTTTTGGAGCTGGAAGTGAACCGCATTCCGGAGCTATGACGCGCCGCCGCTGCGGTGTGAACAGGAAAAACCGGCGCTTTTCAGGCTCTAGCTCCCAGCAGGAGCTGGAAAAGCGCCGGTGTGAGCGAGAGAGAGAGAGAGAGCGAGAGAGCGAGAGAGCAAACCTTTATCTATTTAATATAGTCTAGTTGTAAAAAATAAAGTAAGAAATCATTCCAATGTGTACTATAGGACAGTAAAAAAAAACACAGTTTAAAAGGGGAGTGATTAGTAAAATATGCATAAATAAGTAACATAAGATAAGAATAAACAAGTTTAAATGATTTGTTATTGGTTGTGATCATATTCTAAAGATGTTTGGATTATTGAAAAGTATACAGCTCCCTTTCATGTGAGTGTTGAGAGCTGCATCCATCAATTCATGTTGTGCTCAAAGTGCTCCAGATTGATGCTTTTAACTTCAACATTTAAAATCAAATCTTCCCTGGGGAGCATGCCCCCGGACCCCCCTAGAGGAGGAGAGGTCCACCCCCAAATAAAGCAGGTTAAAATAATTAAATTGCATACATTTTATTTTAGTAAACACTGAAAACGGGTCCCACAGACCCAAACAGCACACAAAGGTTAAAGGTAAGCATATAATAATGTTAAAATGTGCTAAATATATACACTGCAAAAAACAAAAAAAAGGAGTAAAAGTAGCTCACGACTTGTCATCCTAAAAAAGGTTGGAGACCCCTGATCTAGTCCAATTCAAGAATCATTTTCTCTGATAATGTAAAGATTTCAAGATTTGTGACTTTGAATACAAGGTAACTCAATCACATCTGCACAGAACAAAGGTGCGTCAGAGGTTGAATGCCAGTTGGCGTTGTTAGCCACCCAGGAGAAAAGATCTGGCAGTCAGCACTTTGATATGTGAGTTTTCAAAGCAACGTGAGACAACTAACAGAGCGCCAAAGAGGCCAAACAAACCGAGAAAAAAATGCAACAAACAAGAAAGTCTCTTGTATTGGCCAAGCTTCAAAATGTATGACATGTCTTTTCCCTTTAAGTAAATCGTTTTTCAAAGATATCTTCAAGTTATTATTAAGCTTCAGAAAGCTCTCTTCAGAGCCACAGAGTACGTTAAACCACTATTTCCACAGGCTGTAAGTAAATGGAACTTCATGGTGGAGGGTCCCCTTAATCTATGTTTCCATGTGCATTCCAGTCTAACCCATCTCTTTTGTGCGACAGATTACCTGTCCAGGATCATCACCAGTCATTCTGCCCAGGCATGTGACGGACAGCCACTGCGTCTCCACTGTCCGCGTCACTCCACCATCTCCATCCAGACTGCGTTCTACGGGAGTGGGGAAGCCAAGCTGTGTAGAGCAGACCCAGACCCCCCGCTCGGAGCCCACAACCACAGCTGCTCTGCTTTCACTGCTCTACAGGTGCATTTTATGTGTTGGATATACAGCCCTGTTTACCCTCAGTGGTTCAATCGTGTATAGGTGTTTTCTCAACGTATGTGTTTGATTTAGTAGTGACTACCCTTAGATGAAAGGCCAGCCAACTATCAGCCATCATTGTTTTTGCATTGGATTTGCACTGTGGATTGTAACATAAATCTGTTAAGTGCCCCGATAAACATTCCTGTTTGTCATCTTGCAATCTACTTATTTATATAAATAGTTATCACCGCAATAAACCGTATTTAATTTTGTCTTAATGTACATTATTTAATTGAATATTCTGTCCTTGTACATATCATATTCTATTTACATGTATATAGACTTCTTGCACTATTTTTTATTTTTGTATTTTATTATATATGTTGCATTGTTGGAGGAGCTCAGGTCAGAAGCATTTCATTGCCAACTCTACACTGTAGTTTATGTGCATACGACAACAAAACCTTTGAGTTTAATTGAATTTGAATAAATCTTGTGTACTGGTAAATGCTGACTCTCCCTGGTGTATCCCGTGCAGAAGATGCTGTCGGAGTGTCAGAGCCACAGAGATTGCCATCTGCCTGTCAACCACCTGCTGTTTGGGAAGGACCCCTGCCCTGGCACTACCAAATACCTCCATGTGGACTACAAGTGTAAACCAAGTGAGTCCAGCAGCTCTATTCCCATTTTCCCAACCTTTTTGTTATCGTAAAATCGCCTCCTAGTGAACTTTGAGTTTCTTTCATACATTTACGGGTGGATGAGCATGAAATGGCTACACAGCTGTGCAAAAAAAGTTCACCCTTCCCTAACCCTAACCTCTCCCCCTGCATTCACTGCCATCTTTGTTGTTTTTCCACTTGCTCAGCTGAACACAAAAGACACGTGGTGTGTGAGGGGGAGACCATGATCCTGCGCTGTAAGCGCCCAAAGGTTCTGATCGTCTATGCAGCTGTTTTTGGGAGAAGTCTGGGCCAGATTTACACCTGCCCTTCACACCTGACAAGACCACCCTCATTTGGTGAGTCAACGAGATACTCTGTGTTCTGATAGACATTTTTAGAGTAGTAGGAAATCACAGGTGTTACATTAAAACTGGCTCTGTGTAAGAAGAGGTAAATAAAGTGTCCCTGTAAGCCTTATCAGTGTTGTGGCAGTGAGTAAACATGCACAATACCAGGGTCCTGAAACTAAAGCAGTCCAATGGAATTCCGCCATAATTTCATTTGACTAATTACAACTTTACCGACTGTGAAGTGCCAAGAAGTCTTCCGTGAAAAAGGTCCCTGGCAGACGGACACATGGGGAAAAGTCCCGTGGGAAAAATCAGCCCCAATCTGTTTACTTGCATTAAAAACAAAAAGTAGGGATCTTTGGATAATTAAAGAGAAATACAAGCAAAAATGTAAAGTCTGTTTTTTCACGTCATACTGACATTCCATTCCATTGCAGAAAAAGCACAGGTGTTGATAATAAACTCAGTAATGATTGCATTGTTTGAGTGTGCCATTTTTATATTTATTTGTGCTTTCACTTGTAGCAATCATTGTCTGCTGTGAAAAAATACTTTTGAGAGAGGATATGAGAGAAAGGCCAGATTTCATTGTCAATTGTTACTTTTTCCAAACTATAAAAACTTTACACTGATATAAAACAATGCTTTAAATACGTTTTCTGAACATTGGATGTTTTAGAATGAGCAAACTTAACATTTAACTATCATAGATTTATTGAGTTATCAATTTCTTGCAGTCAAAAAAAGAAAATGTCATAGTTTTTGAGCTACAACCAAAACATTGATTTAGTGTTTCAGCTATTGCAACTGACACATGCACACACACACTGAAACTGTGTTCCTAAGTCAGTAACTTTCTCCCTAAGTTCCTCTCTGCTGTTCCCTACAGAGTGTCTGAACCACGAGGCTGTGCACTCGGTGTCTACGTCCTGCTACAGCAAACACAAGTGTGCTGTTGTTGTCAGCAACCAGACCTTCAGGGACCCCTGCTTCCCCGGAACCAGGAAGTACCTCAGCGTGGTCTATTCCTGTGGTAGGACTCTTTCTACCTCCCCATTCACATGACACAATTGCAGGCCTGCTGAGGAATTAGAGAGAGCTGTCAAAATATGAAAAGGCTTTTGTGATATTTTTCTATACATAGCTCAAGTCATGTCATGTTTGGCTTATTGACAGCTATGTTGTAACTTCCTATTAAGGACCCTTATCTGCTGTTCTTATCAAATCACACCCAACAACATGGTAGTAGGAATAGTACACTGTGAGCTCAGATGTGCGTGTTAAGGCTGGCATCCTGGTAAACTTCCTGCAATTGGCACAAATGACAGTGAGGTTATGCCGCAACATTGTTCGTATCAAAGTTGGAGATTTTTCAATTCAGCCTGGATGACAGAATTATTCTGCCAGGCTCCATCTAGCACAGAAGAACAATGTGTGTTAACCTTGTAGACCGGTTATCAACATGATTCTCAGCCAGGTTTGTGCAAAGGTTTGGTTTTGGGAAGTGGAGTGCTGATGTTTTTCTGTAGATTCACCCATAGCCTGCACAGTCACAGAATCTGCATCAATTTGTTCACAACAATATAAAACTCTTCTGTCTTTCCTTCCAGTAGTACCACAGACTTTACTAAGAGAGGCAGACCCTGACATATTCAGCTCTACCTCATCTCCTACTGTGGACACAGAAAAAGGTAGCCATATCATGCCATCTCTTGCAATTCTAGGGTTTTTTTTATGCACTTTTATCTCACATTTTGATTCTAATGATTAAAACAGTTCCTCCTGGAGATCTGAGGAAGCCTTTTCCAAAAGAGTCAAGAAGGCCTGACAACTCAGGAGCCATTATGAGCAACTCTCTCCTGACCTACACCTACATCAAAGGTAAAGGTTACTCAGAAACCAGCATGTACTCCTTAAAGGTCTCCTATTATACTCTTTTTCATCAATATATTATAGTTCTCAGTTAAACATGTCTCTGAAGTGTTTGGCTCCAAATACCAAACAGATCATTGCAGCATCCCATAATCCCCTCTGTTTCAGCCCTGTTTCAAAAGTGCTGATTCTCTGTCTGTTACTTTAGATGAAAATAAGGAGCCACTCCCCACGCCCCTCTGAGAGATATTTGGTTAAAAAAAACACAATAGGCGCTTTCACACCGGAGTACTTTTCCCAGTATAGTTCCGTTATAGTTCCGAAAATGTGCGTTCACACCAAAAAAATCCGGAACTAGAACTTAGTTCATGAGAACCTTTTCAACCCTGTGCTCTAGGAGGAGATTCAGGTGATAAGGTGTGGGGGGAAGGTGGGGTGGGGTGATTGGCTAATGGTTACACAAGCCAAGTGGCCAAAATCTGATCAGCTCATTTTCAGACAGGTTTTCATATAAATGGATCAGGACAAAAAGAGAGAGAAAAAGGTATGTTTGAACTGCTAACACTATATGATTATGGGTCACAAAGTATTTTGGTTGTGGGAAGGTAACATTGACGAGTTATTTTTTAATCATCCTGGGGGGGGGGTTACCTTGGTTGGTGATTGGCTAATGGTTACACAAGCCAAAAAAACGTTATGACATCATAAAGTGGCCAAAATCTGATCAGCTCATTTTCAGACAGGTTTTTATATAAATGGATCAGGACAAAAAGAGAGGGGGTCTATTTTCCTGAAACATTCAGAATCTCTTTACACAGAGGGGACACATGTTGATGTATAAAAGACATGAAAAAGTGGATTTTCATAATAGGTGACCTTTAATTCTAAAGTACTACTACTACTAAATTCCCGTTACCATGTTTTATACATCTCCTTCCTTTATTCCCCTCACAGAGCATCCAGAAATGGCAGCGCTGCTCTTCACCTCCAGCGTGTGTGTGGGTCTTATTCTCACTCTGCTGGCTGTATCAGTGCGGGTGACCTGCAGAGTTAAGCGCTCCAGAGATCACAGAATAAAACCAAAGTGTGCTAGCCAGGTGGTCAAAAGCCAGGAGCAGGACGATGATGATGATGATGATGATGAAGATGATGACGAAGAGGGAACAGAAAGCTCTTTAATCTCAGCTGCAGACAGGAAGGCGATATGCGACTGGGAGGGAGTGCCTTATGTGAGCGAGGATGCCGAGCGGGCGGAGAGGATCGAGCGCAGGGAGATGATCATCCAGGAGATACGGATGAACGCCTATCTCAATGGCAGCTCATGTTAACTTAACAGGGAAACCAATGGATGCTGTTCAGCACCTTCAGGATATGTTCAGGATTCTCTGCAGCAGCTCCCAGCCGTTCATTATGAACAAAACAAGTAACATTTTCTTCATTCATTGGATAGCAGTTTGTTTTGTGTTCGGACATTTTTGCAGGAGCACTCATTCAGTAAAAAATGTAATGTTGGGTAAAATGCGATACGAGACATTTTTTAAAAAGATCAACAGGATTTCATGCTGTAAAATGGGTGGTCACATATATTATTTAGTTGTTTAAAAAAGTTTGATAAATTCAGAGTCACCACTGAAGCAACGAAAGAATGTGTCAGGGAGTGGGATTGTTCATAAAACCTAAGTTGTTCTCATCCCATAACTTTCTTAGTTTTTGAATGAAGCCTTTCCATCACAGACAAATCAAAAAAAGGCACATAATAGTGTTTTCCCTACAGAATAACTACAGTAGCGATTGGTAAATGTGGCAGCTGTTCATACCATAAACCCAGGGTATATGTTTCAATTTCATTTTCCAGAAAAACTGTTTATTTAAAGAGCCATCTGCATTCAGTGTACAAAGTGTTGTTACATGTTTTTTGTTTTTTTTTAAATCCCGTTTTCCTTGAAACCCACCACACCTCTCTGAATCACTGCATCCACTCCGTCAACAACTCAACGCAGTGGAATTAAACACTCATTTTGAACCCTTCAATTTCCTCATCACTGCGGGGACAAGAGCTGGAACGACAAACCGCTGTGTGGCAACTTCCTGCCTCAGCACAGACGTTCATTAAAAGGTGTGTGTGAGACAAAGAGAGGAAAGGTGTAGCATCCTTGTCCCTGGGATGTAACACTGTGTTCTAATTTAATCACTACCTCTGAGCACAGGGGTGGACTGGCCATTGGGAATACCTGGGCCGGTCGGACAATGCACTAGCAACCCCCCCCCCCCGTTGACAATTGACTAGCGGTACCGAGTTGGGCCGGTCGGCCGGTCGAGTTTCCCGGGCTGAATTTTAGTCCCAGTCCGCCCCTGTCTGAGCATGTGTGAAATGTCAACATGACGTTAATACATAAATAATCCATAAAATGGACAAACATGTTTATACACGGGCACATTTTGAAAAACAATTTATTTCACAACAATAATGTTAAGAGAATATCTTAAATGTATTTCATCTGCACAGCTTCAATAAAAATGAAAATTGAGGTTAAAAACAATCAGTAAGGGAATACAAGGTTCAGATTGACCTTCAAATAAATCAGGTTTTTAATGACATCAGCCTCCCTGTGACATCATGACCCGTCCTGTCAGACAATGTCTCCAGATTTGAATTCAGATACAAATAAATACTAACATGTATTGAACTGATTTAAGGATAGTGAGAATAAGGCATCATAGTCCGTTGCATGTGGAGCTGTACGGGATCAGGGCAGCAGCTCCACGGTGGGAATCTGGGTGTTAGCGTTTTTTTTACCTGGGCCCCCATTTGATGTTAGAGAGGCCCTGAAACTGTTTTCTGAGAGCTTGTCTGTCGGTCCACTCTGAGTCCATGTGGCTATCATCGTCTCCCTCCTCTAGTTTCTGAAAATATTACAAGAGGAAGGTTGGAAAGGCACATTATGTACAAACAGGAACTTGGTTTTGCATGCGCGCCTATTTAGAAGTCCAGGAGTGTTTTGTGTCTTTGGCCTTTCCTCACCTTGAGCTCCTCCTGCCTCCTGTATTGACGCATCATCATCTGTTTCTGCTGCTCCTCAGTGATCACAGGCTCTCTCCCTGGGGCCCCCTGCCCTTTCTGAAGGGGAAGGCAAAAATGGATTGCAGTTATTCTCAAAACTGACAAGTATACTGTCTGTAATATACCGTAAAAATACTCCCTTTAAGATGAAATGGCTCTCACCTTTTGGATTTTGACCACAAGCTTCGTCTTTTCATTTTTACCAATGTAGTCCTGCAGTTTTTTCCCCCTCTGCATCTCTTTGCCAGCCCACCATAGCTGGCACTCCTCCTCTGTGACCACCTGCAGAGAGGCCTGAGGTACAGACAGATGGGGAGGGTAGATACAGAGGATTTGGGGGTAGAAAAAGGAATTATTAGGGAGAAGTTAAGATGGATTTACCTCCAGATGTACCAAACAATAGTGATATTAGAAACTTATGGTGTTGTTTACTATTTTTATGTTGACTCCAGCCAATTGCTGCAAGATAACTGTGAATATTGACAAAGGTGCAGCTGTTTACCTGGGTTCCTGAAAGGTCTTCCCTGTCTTCAAACTCCATCCTGATAGGGTCATGAGGAGGCAGCTCCATTGGGTATACAATCATGACCGCACCCCTTAGTGGATCTAGGGCTTCCTTTATCATCTCCATGGTGACACAAACATTAGCTTGGACTTGTTTCTGAAGAATGAGGAGAAAGACGTATTTAATTCAAATGTTTGACCCTTGCTAAACAACACGATGTGAAATATTGTGTGTTTAAAAAAAATTATACTCACTTTGGAGATCAGTGCCTTTGCCTCTTCCACAGTTCTCATCAACACCTCTTTCATCTTATCATTTGGAGCTGGTAGAGGGGGTAGAGGGGAAAGAGGGGGAATGTCAGCCTTTTTCATGCTTGCATTGGTATTACAACACATTTAAAAAAAAAACTGATAGGCAAATTAACCTCTTCACAAGACAGTTAAGCATGCGTTAGGTTAAGTTGACTTTACTTTTTAAATTGCGTAGCCCACTGTCTTACCCTGTCCGTTCCTCCTCCCAATCTCATCCCTCCTCAACACGGGCCCTCCACTGGGAACACACTTTTCTTCCCATTCATCGATCAGGTTCAGGTCCACGATCTGCTCCTCTGTCAGCCCCTGCATGTTGGGGGGCAGTGTGGTGCCATGGTCAGCCAGCTCTGGGATCTCTGAGGGTACATAAAAGAATGAACAAATTCATGTAAATGTATCCAACAAGACTGAAAGATCTTATTTACAAGAGCCATTTGTGCGGAAATGTTGTTGAGACCTTGAACAGAATACTTATTCAGACATTCAGTTACTGATAATTAATAAAACATAGTACATCTTAGTCCCTGCTTTTTTTAAGTTGATCAATTTCAGAGTATTTATCCTCCAACCCAGTGTAAGCATTGGTTTGAGAGATGTGTTTGAGCATGCGCAGTGTGTGTTCTGCGGTTGTATTAAGGACTCGAACGGAGGCGCTGTCTGTGATGCTCAAAAAATACTAAAGTTCCTGAGTTTTTGTTACACAGAAGTATCTTTGAAGCCCTAACACATCGGACGTTACACTAGTTTAAACAGTAGTAAAGTGTGAATTCAGCCTACTGAAGCTTATCATCCCTATAAAGTGTTAAAAGTAAATATTCCTACTTTACCTGAACATATCCTGTCCACTTTGAGCCTCCCGTTGTAAATGGCTGTAATTTGCTGAATCACCGACTCCACAGGCGCGAGCACAGTGGTGTTGAAAAGAAACTGGCTTTCATCTCCACGCTTCACATGCAGCTGCACCATCTCGAATAGTAGCTTACCGTCTGTTTTACCACCTAAAAGAGACGTTTCAGTATATAAATAAATGCGACTTTTGTTGTTGAATAGAGCCGCAACAACACGAATAGTTTTTGTGTGGAAACACAGTAGCCGGGGTCAGGGGGGAAACAGTGTAACCATAGCAACAGTTGTGTCTACAAGTTAGCTTTCAACTAGCTAGCGAGTAAAGCTATTTACATTTTAAACGCTCAACTGTTTAAGGGTCATGTCATTATATAAAACGAAAATGGTAACACTTACCTGTGCAGTGAAACGACAAGCACAAGACAGTACGTTCAATGTTCCGACTGAGTGTAGAGTTTGTTTACAACACACAACCGGTGAAAGTATTAGCTAAACGTGAATCCAACATGGATTGAATTCTTCTTCGTGTGAAAAACCAAGGGCAGGTTATAACAATCCAATCAGTATTACTGTCCTCTAGCGGTAACACATGGTAACACTGTGGCCAATAAGGTATGTTTTCGAACAATCTTTAATCACTGGCTTGCCCTACTATACCAGAAGAAAATGATAACTAATCCACTTACCTCGGCTATATGTTTACTTTCATTGACATTATATCACAGTGACTGACTATAACTGGATAACAGACTACTCTAGAAGTAATTTAACAAATTCAACAACTAAAATGACACAAAGATGATATGACAAAGGTTTTTTTGGTGGGTGTTTCTCCTTAAATGCTGCATGGGTCCAATGACAGAGAGTGGCGTATGCTGTACAGATTGTGAAGCCATCTGAAGCAAATTTGTAATATTGGGCTATACAAATAAAAAACACTTCACACAAACATGTAATGCCTGTACAACTTTGATATTAAGTATAATAGGTGTATGATGTTTAATTCTCTATATGATGTTCACAGTTACATTCTGCAGTCAGAGACGAGTCGACACACATGAACATATAGGGTCGACTTACATTTATTTTTGCATACATACAACATAAACTGCTTCATACATAAATGTGCAATCTGCTGTGCACTTAAAATATGGAACGTTGGATATTAACACGAATCGCAGCTTCATGTTTTCTCTTGAATACATACAGAATATGTTCAACAACACAGACTCTTCATTTACTATGGATTATAGCCATAAAAAGGGACACCAACCTCACAAAAAGAGCAATTTGTTTCCTATAAAATCTCATCTTGTACATGACATGACACAAAGCGCTGGCTAGTCACCTACAGAATCTACTGCACACATTTGGATAACACAATAAATGCATTTTAGTGATGACACCGACATGTAAGCAAAGGCGACCTGATACACTTGCTTACATAGATAGCTACTGCATTCAGTGCAGAGAATGAAGATTATTTATATTTGTTTGACATTTGCAGAAGCGTTAGTTAGCTGGTACTTTCTTGTGTCATCCTCAAGGAGCCATCAAAATTATTATAGGACGACACTTTTACTGATACTTTTGCAAAAATACTTATCATCATTGATGCTGACCTTTACAACTCAACAGCAGGTAGTACAGGGGGAAATACTGACACATCACCTCTGACAACACCACACACACCCCATGAATGGTTACGAAATCAGCGAGGCTCAGTAACAATTACTCTCAACTGGAGGAAACAGCTATGGGTTAGATATTACAGGCGGACCTTCAAACGTCAAATCACACTACTGTCTGGAATGTGGGCCACTGCGCCTGGGAAGGACACAACAAACAGTCAACTGGAAATTATAATCTGGCGATGCTTTTCAGCATACAGTGTAGTTGAGTCTGTATATTCAGTCAAGGTGGTTGGTGCTTTGAGGAATAAGAGTCCTTTGTCTTTGTTAACATTGTTGCATACAGTGAGGCCCCTCCACAGCCCTTGGAGGCTATAGAGCGGAAATACAGTGACAGCCATGCGCTAGTGAATACAGTGGCTGTTAGTTCAGCAAATACACTGCGTCTTAAATGAGAAGATTTCCAAGGGGCAAAGCTCTGATCATTTCCACCCCTAACTCCGTACACACACTCACATCCAAACACAAACACGGCAACAGACGATATGCACCTCAAACACGACACATTACTTCTCACCACAGATATTAACAATAGATATTTAGAGTAAATGTTCTGAGAAATTAAAAGCATGTCTTGTGCAATGAACAAAAGCTGAAGTAAAAAAATGTGCCCTCTTGTTATTATGCATGGCTTGGCCTGGCCGCCATGCTTACTGACCCGAATCATAGTACTTTGAGTAACAGAAGTATACAAACGCACCGGCCACATTCTCTGAATTTACAATAGTGTGTTTAAATGCTTTGGATAAATCAGGAAGAATAAAAACACTGCAGAGGTGGAAAGGTCATCTGCTCAACCCGCTGGCTCTCATTTCTGTCATTCTGCCATCAGCAAGAATACAACCAAGAGAGCTCATACAGCCTGTCAGTGCATATCAGTAACATTGTGCAAACCACTGATACAGCCATCACAAACACAATATACACATATAGCGAATCGGTTCCATGTTGAAAACCTACATTTATACATAAATCACTATGTATAGGTTTTGATATAGAGCTCCAAAATATATTCAGCTAAGCGTAACAGCCCACGTACAAGGAATGATGACGGAATAGAGAAAGGAAGAACATAACGTCTTACTATCAACTGGATGATAGTCAGTCCAGCGGCAGTGAACAGTTTGACTGGCTATGACACTTTGTTGCGGTTGTTCACGCCGTGGTTTCAGCGAGGAGGCAATGACAACCCAGTGCAACAAAAAGTACATTCAAGTTCAAAGCGAGCGCACAATATGCATTTTAAACGTGCACTCATTAGACACAATATACAGACTATTTTGGGGGCAAATGTAAAACCTTCAGTGCATAGCCTTCTACTTCCTGTAAACTGAGAAGGTAGAGGATTCCTCTCTACTTTAAGAAGCCTGCTCTGATGTACAAGTCAGTCAAAATGATGCATTTTGCCAGTGAATGGCAAGGTAACACTGAGCCTCGCAGGCGAATGCAGTTTGCTGCACGGCCACACATACATGTCTATATATTGCACAGGTGGCTAAACATACGATTTGTGCGTATAGATGTACTTTATATCGTTCTATAATGTAGACACAGGCACGAGTTTGCTGCCCTGAAGAAAAATGAACATCAGAACAATTCATATTAAAATAAATGTAAAGGGATAAGCAAACATCTCTGTGGGAAACTTAGCACACAGGCTCACACATGTTACTGCTGAAGATAAATATTACGTTCCTGTGAATCAGAAGGGGATTGGTCTATACCTTTTAAATACTCTCTTTTGTACATACACACACACATATACACATTTATCATAGATCTATACATATCTGGATATGCCCTTTATGTATTAAGAGTGATCCCAGCTTTCTGTTGGGAACAAGCAGTCGTCGCTCAGACCCTCTGGGAGGTTTGGGTTGCTGGGTACAGTTCTGGTCAAGATGGGAGGAGGGAGCGTTGGGAATACTGAAGGGACCGAGGATAACCAGTCGGGCTCCGAGTCAAACACAGAGAGGGAGGGGAGAGTCTGTGTTTGTCCCACGAGGGAACTTGAAGGAAAGACGGGGGCCTGTGGCGTTTTGGTTGGATGTTGAAAATCCAAATCATCATCAAAAGTGACCCAACTCTTTGTGGGTTTACCTACTGAGGGGGGTGGCAGGCGACGAGGTGCGAGGACAGGGGGAATGGAGGAGGGAGGAGCCAGAGGCAAGGAGGGGACAGGAGACGGGGCGAGGGGGAGCAGAGGGTCAGCTGTGGGGTTGAAAGCGGGCGACGGTCCAAACAGGGACGTGGTCCTCTGGAGCTGGGAGGTGGGGGCCGCTGCTGTTGGAGCAGGGATGGGGATGAGGGGCTGAGTGAACGCAGACATGGTCCTCTGAATGTTTGGCGTCGGGACGGAGCTGAAGTCCGGGGTGAGCGGGCGGCTGGACTGATACCGCTGCGCCAGAGGGCCCGTGAAGGGGTTGGTGCTGCTGGGCCGGGCGGGGAGCGGGTCGGGAAGGAGGGGGCCGGGGGGGGCCCACAGCGTCTCCTGAGAGCGGCTACGAGACGGGACCGGAGGAGGCGGGAGCAGGGAGGAGGAGAAAGGGGACGCGGTGGAAGGTGTGGAAGAAGAGGAGGAGGAGGAAGAGTCGAGTGGCTGCAGGTCTGAGAGGGCGGAGGACTGGAGGGAGAAGGATAAAGGGAGAGTGTTGGAGGATAGAGGAACAGAGGGGGGGGCACGCAGAGAGGCGCCTCTGTTCAGGGACTGGGTGGTGTGCCAGGGGGAGGAGGAGGAGGAGGGGAGTAAATCAGAGGTGAGTGGATTGAAGGGGTCCGGCTTCCATTGTGCTTCTCTTTGGATTCCATTCAGTCCATTCGTCTAGGGAGGAACAAAACAAGAAAAAGACATTCAGCTGTCGCAAAAATGCTGTTGAAAATATGAACAGTGGAGGAACTAATGGTCTACAACTGAATTGATTGTATTATTTCTTTAGATAAGAACAACGATTGAAGATACCCCCTGGAACTTTCATTTGAACAAACAGTTATGATGTACATCTGTGTCTGACTTGATCAATAATGCCACTTCTCCATAGGGTACCTTTAATCTGTCCAACTTGAATACACTACAGCTAGCATTGATGAAAGTATCACAGTGCGCATACAATCACCAACTCTAAAACAAATGGATGGAAAGTAAAATCATATTATGAAGCCTTTGCATATGTGCTCACGCTTAACACCTTAAACACAGTGAGCAGATAGGAAAGGATCAGTGAAGGGGAATGGCCAACAACAAACATCTTTTTTCATGTCATTAATGGTTTGTTATGACAAAAAGAAGACGAAGGATGCTCCCTTTTGTGAGCCGAACACAAAACAATGCATGGACTTGCAGTGGTATAATAACATCCAGGTTAAAACAACAATAATATAAATAGGAGGAGACGTAGGACTGTTTTTTACAAAATGAGGAAAGGACGAGGTTATTAGGTGTAATGTATGGGGGGGGGTAATAACATCAGAGCAGAGGACTGTTGTGCTATGGAGGATGAGACAAAGAGGTGGTTTAATTTAAAGTACCTGTTACCCTGAGGGCTTCTCCAGCTTGTGAGAGAGAGGCAAATGTATCAGAGAGACAAAAGCAGGAAGAATGACACAAAAACTAAGCTCATTGGATGCGAGACAAAGCAGCAGAAAGAGGCTAATTCTCCATCACCGACACTTACATTAAAAATATCTTGTCTAATGAGCAGAATTTGAGCAAGCATCTGTAATACATCATTTAACAACGAAAAAGGCAGGATGATCTTAGTGTTTTAAATACACAATACACTCAGTGTTCTTTGTACAGTTGCTGAAATTCCAATAATTTAATGAAAAGGAAGTTGGCACCAACCTGGGCAGCTGGGGCTGTTTCAGTCTTGGCAACCTCAGGTGGCAGAGCTTGAGAGGAGCGGGAGCGTGGGGGGGGTTTGGGAGAGGCTAGGCCCTGCGGAGACCCTGCAGAGGCAGCAGAGGAAGCAGGGGGTCCGACTTTAGGAGCCTGCTGTGGCTGGAGTGGAGCTTGAAGGGTGGGCTGCATGGGGGCCTGGAGCTGGGGCTGAGCTACAGGGGCCGCTGAGTGGGGCTGCATGTGAGGCTGCATGTGGGGCTGCATGGGGGCCTGCATGGGGGCCTGCATGGGGGCCTGCATGGGGGCCTGCATGGGGGCCTGCAGGGGGGCCTGCAGGGGGGCTTGCATGGGGGCCTGCAGGGGGGGCGGAGCCTGGGGTCTCGCTATCTGGGGCTCTGCTGGAGGAACACCTGAGGGAGGAAACGGGACAGAGTTCAGGCTTCAGCGCATCTCATTAAAAGGTCACCTATTATGCAAAATCCACTTTTCATGTCCTTTGTACACAAAGATGTGTCCCCTCTGTGTAAAGAGATTCTGATAGTTTCAGGAAAAAAGATTCTCTCACTTTTTGTCCTGATCCATTTATATAAAAACCTGTGAGCTGATGAGATTTTGGTCACTTTGTGATGTCATAATGTTTTTTTGGGTTGTGTAACCATTAGCCAATCACCAACCAAGGTAACCCCCCTGCCCACCTTATCACCTGAATCTCCTCCTAGAGCACCATTAGGCGCTTTCACACCAAGTACTTTGCCGTACTTAGTTCATCAGAACTCTTTAGTTCTGATGAACTAAAGAGCAGATCGTGTTCACACCGGAATAAGTCCCTGAGGGAGGATTAGGCAAATGAAGCCGCTGACGTCACTTCTTCTTCTTCTGCTTTGGGTTTACTGGCAGACTGCAAACAACTTCACGGCGTATACTGCCACCCGAAGTCCTCGGCCGGAAGTCCCCCCCGAGTAAATCGCCAGAACGCCGACACCTCCTCATCTGCACCGCCCCCACCTTTTATTTTGTGTTGCCATAAGTTAGTCTCTCTCCGTTGGTGCGCTGGGCTAATGCTAATGCTAATAATGCTAATGCGAGCAAATAAAATGGCGGCTTCACAAAACCTTTTGGGAGTTTTACGGGGCGTGGTTTGCAATCCGCCCAGCCAATCAGAAATGGGAACCTTTTTCTCCCCAGGAAAGTACCTGCTCTCTAGCAGGGACTGAAAAGGGGGTGAAAAGGTTCTCATGAACTAAGTTCTAGTTCCGGATTTTTTTGGTGTGAACGCACATTTTCGGAACTATACTGGGAAAAGTACTCCGGTGTGAAAGCACCTATTGTGTTCTTTTTAACCAAATATCTCTCAGAGGGGCGTGGGGAGTGGCTCCTTATTTTCATCTAAAGTAACAGACCCAGAATCAGCACTTTTGAAACAGGGCTGAAACAGAGGGGATTATGGGATGCTGCAATGATCTGTTTGGTGTTTGGAGCCAAACACTTCAGAGACACGTTTTGTATATATCTGAGACCTATAATATATTGATGAAAAACAGTATAATAGGGGACCTTTAATAACCATTCTAGCATTGGTGATTGCCCTTTGGGAAAACACTTTTTCTTACCCAGAGGCAGGTCCGTGGGTTTGGCCAGAGCAGGTCGTGGGGCCCCGGGGTGGTTGTCTGGGATGGGTCGAGGGGCCCCAGGATGCACCTCTGTGATGGGCCTGGGGGCTCCAGGGTGAGAGGGAGGTTGTTGGCGAGACTGAGGGGGTATGCTGATCACCCCGGCTCGAGGAGGGATATTCTGGATGATGAAAAAAGGAATAGAGAATAGAAAGTATTGACAAATTGGGTAAAAATCCGTTAAAAATAGGATAATCTTTTGAATTCAGATGTATACTCACTGGTCTGGGAGCACCTGCAGGTCCAGTAGACCCCACTGCTACCTGGCCTCGTGCTGAAAGAGTACACAGACAAACATGAGCCAAAAATCTTACAATTTGATATTCATCAAGTAGGCTGTGTCCCCTGGAGAGAGATGTAAGGAATAGCAGTAGGAAGATGGGAGCAAATTAACAAAGATAACAGAATCACACACGAGTGCACTGAAAACCCCCCCTCAACCTATGACAGATCAAATTCCCCAGGGCTGACTTCATAATTAATGATGATTCAATCTTTCCCGAGCTGCAGGAGGTCTGGAGGAGAGGCAGGCCTTGTTCTGTGAGCCAACTGCTTACCACACACGCCTCCTCTTACACTATTCTCCCACTGAACCCCTCTCAGTGCCCGCGAACATGTTCCCACGCGACTAAGATGTCTGCTTCTGTGTAATACTTCACTGTAGGGTCACCCAAAGTAAGCTAACCCTGCTAATTACACACGCCGCTGCTGTGAGGGTGGGATTCAGCTAACCTCACACACAAACTTCCCAATAAATCCACGTTGTTATTGTTTGTTTGTGTTTTTTGTAATCATTTGTTCTCTTTGTACATACAATCAGTACAGACCATTGTCTCATTTGTATGCATATATTTTGCTTTCCACTTCTAAATGACAAACATTACTTATGCATTGTCGAAACGCAATAAAAATATTTTTGATCAGAAACTTCCCGATAAAGATGTTGTTTAATGGAAAGAACTCGTACTTAAATATGCAAACACCCTTTATCGTCATAGACCACATGTGTCAAACTCAAGGCCCGGGGGCCAAATCAGGCCCTTGGTGGATTTAATTTCGGCCCGCAGGATAATTTCTAATTACTATTAGATCTGGCCCGCCGGTATATTGCACGCAAACCTTCACTCAATCCTGAGGGTCTCCTCAGCTCAGAGCCTGACCCCAAACATTGATGAACTTGCACCCAAGATGAGATGCCAAGTATCTGGCTTGAACTAGCATCACAGAGCAGCAACCTGAGTTTAATGGATGTTTCCTTCTGCACTTTCTTTCTTGAGACAACAGGGCATGTTTGGTTTTTTCTTTGAGGGAAATAGTTTTTTTGAAGCTGTTGTTGGCCTGTGGAAAAATGTAATCATAAGAAATGACTCCAAGCTGCAGATAGAGCCATGAGAAATGAATGCAACTGATTATTTAATGTTGTTTTTATAGGCAATAATTTAAGCTTTGTTAGGTCCAGGTTTAATATGTGCAATAAGTTCATTTCAATAAGTTTTGCAATAAACATTGAACCAGTCCAGCCCTCGACTAGTACCCATTTTTTTATTTTGGCCCACTGTGTATTTGAGTTTGACACCCCTGATCTAGACGAATGCTAATTGAGGCTGCACGGTGCTTTTTGCCGGCACTCACCTGTAGCGGCCTCAGGCCGAGGAAGAGCGGGGCTTTTTGGTCCTTTGCAGCACAAAGGAAACCAAACGATATTAGTGTTATACACAAAAGGGTAATACTGGTGATATGAAGCAGGGGTACCTAATGACAACACTGTACAAGAAGCACTAGGAGGAGCGTATGGTGGTAATACTGCAGCCGAGCAGTGAAGCCTGAGATGCTGGGAGTCTAAATATCTTTCTGCCGGATGAGGATTTCCTCACTAATCACAGTGGATTACTGCAGCAGAGCTGACATTAAAACCATGGACCAAAGGGATGTTCCTTTACACCATGTTATCTCCCCATGAAAACACTAGGATCACCATATCTATACCCTTTTAGTGCATTATAATGTGATTAAAACAGACTTGATCTGATGCACATCGTCCCTATTGCACAACTTTTAGACTTAAACAAAATTGTTACCAGCAACCTAAAACACCAAAGTATTACAGAGGGAAATGACTGCTCTACTTGTAATTCCTTTTTGTAATCATAACAATAGTTCATATGGATACATTATAAGTATAAACACAACTCAAAATGAAGTTGAAAGAAAACAGTCAGATGTTTCCCGATTTAACCTCTATCATTTTTTATTCCCAGTCTTTTTGCATTTAAGTAAGCCAAATATATTTTTACAACAGCCTACCAAACACATCTCTCTCTCTCTTACAAACACACAAAGGCCTGATAAGGCCCAGAATAAATAATTAGTCAACAGTGAACCATCAATGTCAATACAGGCATTGATGACTGGGTCAAGGACAACAGCAATCAGGGGACATTTAAAGCCTGTCCAGTTACCTTCACTTCTTCTCCTACCAAACGGTGAGCGAGGAACTTGGCAATAGTCTTAGATTAAAAGAGGTAAACAATATTTTAATATGAAAAAACATAAACATTGTGACTTACCAGCTACTCTATCTATCTACTCCTACGTTAAATACATTCGGAAGAGGCGGCAAAACCCACAAGAACACCTAGACTAGTAAATAACAACACTTGTATAGTACTCACAGATATATATCCACTAACATCAGAAATGACAGGGGAGTGAAATTAGACATGACTCAGCAACCACTTGGCCTATTTACACATCAAATTGTATTCTCCGATTTATTTGGGTGGATAGCTTTTGGAACATTTAATTTAATAAGTTAGTACGCTTAAACTTAACCCAAGTACAGTTCCAATCAGGTGCATCCAGTCAGGTTTAAGAGAGGGTTCAAGTCATCTGGATGGTCCAGTGAATGAATAGACTTTTGTTTCGAAACATCACACAATCATCTGCACACTAACTTTGTTCTGTTTAAAACTGAAATGAGCATTGCAACTGACAGCTTCCTAAATCAGGACTAATGCAATGTGCTTCTGTGTGGAGCGTCAGATGGAAAGTAGCAGCCGCTATGTTGAATGCTTCAGCAATGTAAGCACATAAGCACACAGTCTCACTCTAATCACTTTACCTCCAGAGTGCCTTCTAACTGGCAGAGGGCTCATGCCTCCTTCAGGTGTGAGGAGAAGCAGTGGGACAAAGTTGAAAATGTTAACACCTGCTTTAAGTGTCTTACTGTACCACGGTGAAAAGTTAAATATCCACACTTGCAATGTAGGATTTTATTTGTATTCTTCGACGAAGAGCATGCTTGTGTAATTTAACAGAGGGTTGAAACCTTACCTGAAGGTGGCGGTGGGCGTTGAGGGGGTGCTGGTCTGGCTGGGGGGGCGCCGGGCCGAGGGGGCGGTGGGCGTTTGGGCTCCATAGATGTAGGGGCACCGGGCTGGAAGTCAACAGGAGGCCCTGGAAGGATTTAAGCAGTTCAAATGAAAAAGGGGGCGGTTTAACTGAGCAGCGTTTCACCATGTGCAATTGTTTCCAGAATATCTGTGACTAGTTTACATACTAATACTGTATTTTACATTTTTGTTTTATGATTTTCATTTTTATTCTATTTTATCTTTATTTGTTTTACCTTGTGTGAATCCTGTTTTTCACTCTGACCCTGCTATAAACGCCTGAATTTCCCCACGGGGATAAGTTAAGTCATCTTATCTTACATTCACACAATACAAAAAAAAATGGGTTTTCCCACCATTTCTACTAAATTGAAAATTGGAGGATGTCTTGGTGACTTAAAAGTAAAGGTTATAATCACATAATCACATAATTTCCTGTGAGCAGATCACACTGGTCAATCACACTGTAAATCAAGCCTTAGAATAGAATGGGAGGGATGAAACCCCTCTGTAATGGTCACACATGCAGAGCACACAGCACACACAGTGAAATGTGTTCTCTGCTTTTAACCCATCCTAGTGCCAGGAGTCTAGTACGAGGAGCAGTGGGCAGCTATTGTACAGCGCCCGGGGAGAAATGGGAGTGGGGGGGGGGGGTGTCCGGTGCCTTGCTCAAGGGCACCACGGCAGGGCCCAGGAGGTGAACTGGGACCTCTCCAAGTAGCAGTCCACACTCCATCTTTAGGTCTGTTCGGGGACTTGAACCGGCGACCCTACAGCTCACAGTCCAAGCCCCTACTGACTGAGCCACTGCCTTATTTCTGTTAGTCTAAAGAGAAACAAACAAACACACACAAGAGCACTACAAAAACTAATTTCAAAAGGAAACTGGAAGACACACTACAAGCCCTCGAACACTAGACAGATTAAATAATCACACTTTGAACTTTACCTGGAAACTCATCCCTTAATGATGGGGGGCTTAAATCTGTTTCAGTGCGTTATAAACAGAACAGAATAACAGTTTATATTCCAGCAGGCAGACACTGGAGCCTCAGCTGATTGTTGGACTGTGCGTTTAGCAACATGATACCAGGTGTGTGTCATGCTGCACATCTAATATTTACCCTGTGTTGGTCGGGAGGGGCCTCCACGAGTCGGCCTGCTGGGGCCGGGAGGTTCTCCGTGGGTGGGGGAGGGACAGGGACTGCCGCGGGGGGAGGGGAGGGGAGAGGACCCAGGGGCGGACCCTGCTCCAGGCTGAAGGTGCTGGGGAAGGATCTCCTCCACCTCATCGTCCACATCACCTGGGAAAAGACGGCAGGAATTCATCAATCCATGCCCGCTGATCGTCTTTGTTTGTCCTTAAAGGTTTGTACTCCACCCACCCCAACCCTCCCTTATGTTATAAAGCAGTTTGGAGTCCCAGAAAAGCGCTATATAAATATAATGTATTACAGAGGTGGGAAGTAGTGGAGTACAAATACTTCGTTACTGTACTTAAGTATATTTTTCTGGTATCAGTACTTTACTCCACTACTTATTTTTCTGACGACTTTTTACTTTGACTTCTTACATGTTGAACACAAATACCTGTACTTTCTACTTCTTACATTTTGAACACAAATACCTGTACTTTCTACTTCTTACATTTTCCAAACAGGCTGGTTCCTTTAGTCTGAATGTGTGTTTGGTGGCGTGATCATTATTATTTAGAGTCATTGCGTGCCTATTGATTTGAACACGATCCGTGTATCCATCATTTCCTGGTCTTCTCTAAAGAAGAGGGACCAATGAAAACGTTGTCATGTTGCCGTTGTTCAGCATGGAAACATTCATTAGCTAACAATGACATTATTGTTCTATTAATATAAAGGGAGGTCAGGTACTCTTTAAAACAGCTGCTAGTTATGGGTACTTTTTACTGAAGTACATTTAAAAGCCCATACTTCTTTACTTTTACTTGAGTAAAGAAGTTTAGTCAGTACTTCTACTTTTACCAGAGTATCTTTAAACAGGAGTATCTGTACTTCTACTTGAGTAAAGGATGTGTGATGTGTGTACTTTTGCCATATCTGATGTATTATTATTATGTACTTGAAACTAGCTACGTTAATAGAATCCACATTTCTGAAGTAAATGATTGGTATTGTTTAGCCATCGTCCCTCACCTTCCATATCGTAATCATCATCGCCCATGTCTGTGTCTTCAGCGAGCAGCGTGGAGCTCGCTGAGGTGGGGATGCTTCCACAGATCCTCTCCACGCTCATCTCGTCCTCAAGATTCTTGATCCAGCCTGGACTCTTAAGACGGATGTCGATCATCTTGCCAAGGACCTACAATATAACCGAGGTAATAGATGAAAGAAGTAGAGATGGTTAGAATTGACAGGGGGCATTAAAACAATGTGTTTTTTGGTTTAAATGATAAAGATTGATACACATTTTATATTACTAATGCTAAGACTTAAAAATTAACTAATACAGTTGTGACGGCCGCACATTGATTTAAGGTGTTTCTTCTAAACTGTAGTAAGTAAGTAAGTAAGTAAAGTGTATTTATAAAGCGCTTTTCACAGACAAAGTCACAAAGTGCTTGACAAAACAATAAAACATCATCATAGGAATCGTACAATGATAAATGAACACACAAGCCACGTGTTAAGAAGTCATAAAAGCACCAAAACACAATAAAAACACAATAAAACATAATGAAAACAAAACAAAAACGTAGTATAAAATAGAATAAAACCAAGCACACCGGTTACCCAAACGCCTGCCCAAACAGGAATGTCTTTAAATGAGCTTTAAAGGAGTCAACAGAGTCAGCAGACCGTAGATGAGCGGGCAGAGCGTTCCATAGCTTAGGAGCCACGGCTTCGAACGCTCGATCACCGCGGGTCTTAAGGTGGGAACGTGGGACAGACAGTAAATTGTAGTGGCAGGGGGAAAGGTTTAAGGCATGCTGTTTTATCATGAAATTAACTATGATACATGTATATTATCCTCGCAACTACAGTTGTTAATGTCCACTGTTATGTACGGTTTGAGGGTGTGGGTCATTAAGCCTCATCTGCATATTCACCTGTCGCGGCGCGCCCAGAGGCTTTTTAGTGGGCGCGTCACCGGGACGCCAGGGGTTGGTTCTCACGGGAGGAGGAAGCGTGTGTGTGGCGAATGCGGGTATTCAGCGGGATATTTAAAGTGGACCTATCATGCTATATTTGAATAATATAGTGTAGGACCATACCTATATAAGGCATATTTATACTTTTTTTTTTTCAAAATACCAAACAGATCATGCATTTTAGCCATGCCTCATTTCGCTCAATTTGACAATTTCTAGCTCTGTTTTTGCAAGGGCTGATTCTGTGAGAACAGCACCATCTACTGGCCTGGCATATGTACTACAGCGTCTCCAGCGCTTTCGAACGGCAATGGCCGTGGCTGTCTCCTCCTGATTGGTGGAGTTGGCCCAATAGCCGTAGCGCCACTGTCCTTCAAATCTGGATCAGTTTTTATCAGATCCGTTGCAGCCCCTTTTTTAGAGATTTGGGTATGGAGGAAAATAGAGAGGGTTGTGTTTTCTGACACTTGGTGAGTTCCCTGGAACACCGGGGACACATATTCATGTATAAAAGAAGTACAAAAGTGCATTTTGCATGATAGGTCCCCTTTAAGTTTCCTCAGCATGTATATATATATGTTAAAATGCAACGGGGGAAGTAACTGAAAGTAACCGTATGTGGATATTGCATCGACCAACCTGGAAGCACGTCTCCGTGGAGAGGACGCACACAGATAGAGAGAGATTGCTCCACAGGGTGAGATCGCTCCTTTGTGCCACGCCGATCATCGTGTTTTCTATAGCTTAAATAGGCCTACAAACATTTCAGTTTTTTGCTGCCGACGGGCGCAGGAGCCAGGGCCGTTTCTAGCTTTTTGGGGGCCCTATGCAAGATGCTGTTTGGGGGCCCTAGTTTTTTTAACTACAATGGGGGGATTTCGAAGCCTTTAAGAGGATCTGTGGAGATGCATCAATCTGTTACACTTTAAGAGGAAAACAGGCTAATTTCACGAAAACCAAGCAATTGAAACTTACAAAAAATTACATTAAAAAGGTAAACAATAAGGCTCCTCTAAGTCAATAAATGCAAGAGATGCAGCATTTTCTCAACAATGTGACAGCCCAACGATGATTTGGACTTTATTTCCCCACAAACACAAGCCACAGCTTTGCTATCATTGCAGTTTAGTTGTGTTTATATCCTACATTTGATTTGTAAGCATATAATGCTTCACAGAACACTTGGCTGTCTACAAATAAAGACAGCTAATTTTAATTCTCCCCAAATATATTGAGGCTGAACCTGAACTTTCAGTTTGGGGGCCCCCTAGTGGCCGCGGGGGCCCTATGCATCTGCACAGTCCGCCTATAGGAAGAAACGGCCCTGGCAGGAGCAACAGCCTTTTTTTTCAATGAACTATAGTGGCCTGGATTAGGCAGTAAAGACAATTTCGGTTTATCGCCGAGCTGACTTTTTGTTGAGTTTTGTTTGTGTTTTGCTTGGCTGGAAAACTGTGAATATAATTGAATAACGTATAAAACCTGTCTTTGTTTATTTTGTGAATGTGTGGATGGAGACAGTAGTAAATACAATTCCGTGGGGACTATTTTGTGGAAAGAGTAGATTTTCCATTTATCAGTTCTATTTTGCCTTTATAATATTATTTCATATCAAGAACCCCTTGTGTGTTTATTTAACACAGCTATCTTTGATAGTTGAACGTTACACAGTGATGACTTACAGTGGAAGCGCTGAGAGAAAGAGCAGCAAGAGCAGAGTAACCTTCCAGGAAAGTCACCCACATCTTCTCCTCCACAAACCTGCATAAACAAGGACATGGTCAATGCAGTCTCAGCGTCTGAAGGTGATGCGTGTCTGTCTGTGTCGGGATGTAAGTCTCACCTGATGAGGATGACGTCCCCAAAGTTAGTAAACTTGTCCAGCAGCTCGTCTATGAGCTCATCGCTGAAGTAATCGTCGGGGCCGGAGGCGCAGAGTGACACCAGGATGGTCCCGTCTGGGGGTCCCTGCAGGGCGATGACCTCTTTGTAGACCTGGTGCCGCGCCTCGGGGTCCACCTCCAGGATGTCCACGTCTATGATCGACACCACGGGCCTAAAGAAGGACAGGAGGATAGTGATGTTTAATTAAAGAGTAAATGACACTTCAGAGGATATGTGATTAGTTGGTTCCACTTTACAGGACATAGATGTGACATAAGAAGGAAATGAAGCAAAGGATATTGCTAAAGGTGAAACGGTTACACAGTCAGGTCCATAAATATGTGGACATTGACACCATTTTCATCATTTTGGCTCTGTACACCACTACAATTAACTTGAAATTAAACACTCAATATGTGCTTTAAGGGCAGACTTTCAGCTTTAATTTGAGGGTATTTACATCCAAATATTTATGGACCTGACTGTATATGTATTTTACCTGTGGTCTGAGGTCTTAAGCTCAGCCCTGTTGTAGAACTTCAGCGTCCCAGGGTTCCAGGGGTTGTCCGGATCGTCCTCGTTCTCCCCAGACGTAGTATTGGCTCCTACTACATTCATCTCCTCAGCTGCAAAACACACACAAATTCAAAAATATGACTAAAACATATTTTTGCCAGTGTTGAAATGTTGTCATGAGTTCTGAAATAGAAGGGGACGAGATTATTTAGAAATATCTGAAGAGGCTCTGCACCTGTTTTGTCGAAGTTCCACTTCCTCCTCTTCCAGAGTATGCGGTCGGTCCAGGCCGGTGTGCGGCACTTCTCACTGGTGTCATAGTCTTCTGAGAAGAGGTCATACTTATAGGTGGGAGCAAAATCTAACTTGCCCTCGATAAAACCACGGAAAACCTGTGGAAGACATTTCTGTGTTAGTATGTGTAATGCTCAATTCCGTGGTACAAACGTTTCTGTTCTGAGGAAATGAAGGTTATTAGTGATGTGAGCATGCAGGTGTACTGTAGGTCATACCAAACCAGCATTTTTCTGGTCAAACAACTGATCCCCAGCTGTCAAGGCATCCCAGTTCTGCTGTTTGATGAGCTCTTTCACTTCCTCATTGGGCAGGCCGATTCGATAGTTGAAGTCTCCGCACCAGAAAACGTAGTCATGCGAGTACAGCAGACGACCCTGGCAAAACGAGACGGATGCGGTTTAGTAATGTTATGAGAAAATGTGCTTTTAAATCACTTGTTGACAGGAAAATTACCATGGGGAAAGTCAGCCTGCGCGTGATCTCATTGTAGTCGTCATTTCTCTCCTTGACCTGTGACTGGCCAGCAGCAAAGTGGGAGCAGACGACGCAGATGCTGGTGGTGTGGAAGAGCATGCGGATGGCCACACCTCCTTTATTCCCTGTAGCCCCGCCCATCCCAGTTTTTACAGTATCCACAGCAACATCCCTGGAAGAAATATTGAATGATGAGGTTATATCTGTTCCTAGAACTGGGATTTTCTATCTTGAGAGTGTATACAGTTCTTACCTGATGTAGGGTGCGTGCTGTGGGCGGATGAAAACAAACAGACAGACTCCCACCAGCTGCTCTGAAGCCAGCAACACATACTTGTGGTCCCGTGATAAGTTTTTTTGTAGCTCAGCTGCCCAGAGTTTTTGGTTTGTAGTGCTAAGACAAAAAAAAAAAAACACGTTTTTATATTGCAGAAACCACAGAAAGACAAGCCAAAAACATAGTGCGAGTAAGGTGCTGTTTACACGAGAACGCAAATGGTTGTATCCGCTACTTTTCTCTTTCGTATAGCCCGTTCGTTCACACGAGGCCGTAACGGAAACGCGGAACGGACCCCGCAAACGATAATGGGTTCCAAGGTGGATAGATCTGCAACCGGAACGCTCTGGGGGGCCAAACGATAATTTCCTGATAACAATGAACAGGGTTCTTACACCTTTTCCAAAGTCAAATTCAAGCACTTTTCAAGCATTTTCAAGGTGCATTTTCAAGCTTTTCAAGCATCTTACAGCTGTTGTAAATGACATATTTAAATACACATACTTATACTCAAATGATTATTTCCCTACCTCACATTAAATCAGATGTTCTTTATGCTATAAACAACCAAATGTGTGTTTCATAATAGCATTCTACATGAGGATGAAAAATTAAAAATGTTAGAAAAGAAAACTAAGTTTAATACAGTTTAAACAGTAGCTACTGTCAGTAGCTACTGTCCATGCTACAGATGTTAGTGCAAAATCTACAGCTCCTCTACCACAACCATCAGCAACAAGTGGACATGGAGAATTACATGAACTACATGTTGCTAAATCCACCGCGGGGCATAAACCGAAGGGCAACCATGGCAACCATGCTCGGGGGTCTTCTTCGCTGCTTTTGGTGTATTTTGTGGCGGAAGTACAGCGCCACTTACAGGCCCGGCATATGTACTACAGCGTCTCCAGCGCTTTCGAGCGGTCTCGTGTGAACGGAATACTTTTTTGATATCGTATTCGGTTCATTTGCGTTTCGTATGCGTTTGCGTGTAAATGGGGTCTTAGAGGGACCATCCTTAATATGTTCAAATATAAGGATGTTACAAAATCCTAATGAGTAATAATAGCCTTGTCAGCTCAGCTTAATGATCATAATTCAAGACCTGAATAAATCATGGCCACATTTGAACTCCCATATCCTTTTTAATGCAATTCATGCATTTCATTTATAATTATTTATTTTTTTAAGTAAAAACAGCATTAGTGTTATGAATACTAGCCAAAAAGGAGACAGGTCAGTTATCTGAGGCTACATCATTGCATACATACCTCGCACTGACAATGTTTCCAGCATTCAGTTCAACCATTTCCTCAAAGCCAATGGCAAAGATATCTGGGGGGTTGGCTTTGCTGTCTGTAAAGAGAAGAAACACAAAATGTTCAACATCCTGTCTGGTAAAGAAAATGATGATCATATATAATTGTATGAAGATTTTGTGAGCAATATAGTGCTTTAATCAAAATAGAATCATACCTATTGTTCACAAGCAAATGCATTCACTTAGCAAATACTTAAGTAAATATACTGTATAAATAGAGATATGTCTTAATCAGTCTCTTCATGGAGTCTTGCCAGTTACCTGAGACCACATAATAAACAAGATACTGTATAACATTTGAGGTATTTAGCAAACAGATAAGAGAGTGGTATCATTCTTCTAATCAAAATCCTTTCAAGAATGCAAATACCAGTATTACCCAAAATGTCAAGCTATTTCTTACACCTAATAAATAAGAGCAACCCTATCAAACATCATTTCCAGACAGTAAATTCATCACCAGTGAGTGTGTTTTATTAAACACAGACATACCCTGGAAATCAGGATGGCCTGCCTTCTTTGGAGCATCCAACAGCCAGTCGTTGAGCGTCTGGTTTCGGAAAGCAATGCTGCGAAACTGTTTACCGCCGTTAACATTCCAGGTGCCGACACACACGCGGATCTGCTTGGGCTTCGTGTATTTATGGTAGTTCTGACACATTCCCAGCAGTACTCTTGGAGAGGCTTTAGAGGGGGAGGAGAGCAGGATTAGAGTGTAAAATGTTTGAGTGTTTGGCATGCAGGAAGGGTGGCATACAGGGAAACAAAACAATAACAGGAAGAAAATAATCAATGGGAGAACATCAAAATACAACACTGAAGCAATGTTCTAAAACATGGGGGATGGGAGAAAAAAAAAATCACACTGACATCCAAATAATCAACGTTGGTAATGGTTCCCTTGTTTCAAAATCTTTACACTAAATAATGTTGAAATTTCCTTGCAAAATTCAGCATCCTCTTATTTTTAAACACCATTTCAAAAGCCTGGTTGTTTGCATCAGACAGAGGGTAACCGCTACCAACATTGGGTTTTAAATAAAAGAACAATAATGAACACAAATGATAGGACGACTGTGATGAGATGAAAACATCCATCCACTGGGGGCAGTCTGCCAGTTACTATACCTGATTGCAAGATGGGCTCAGTGACTAATATTGTGAGCAATGAGGAGAGAAGGGAGAGAAGGGCGGGTTAACCGGTGCTTTAACGGATCATTCTAGCAGTCAGCTTTAATCTAACTGGGACAGATAGCTGACACATGGAGATTACACTCGACGCAGCGCACACAAACCCTGCTATTAGTAAGCTTCTGGCTAACAGGGATACAACAGAGACAGGTCAAAACTCGTCAAAATAGGCAAACAATTCCTCCCTGACGGAGCAGAAAAGACACATTTTCTCAGCATTAGAGGATATGGAAGCAGCATTAGTCATTTCAGGGTATATGCAGGAATGCTGAAGTCAAATATAATACCTTTTAAGACCTATTTTAAGACCCTTTCCATACATTTTAAGACCTCATCGCCACTTTGAGTTTTAACCGGTTACATTGGCGGCTATCAAGCAGTGAGCGTGCGATGTCCTGTTCAGATGACGTAAAATCCAACGGGATGCCATAAATAAAATACACAGAATCACACTACACACCTACGCAATGATTACATTCAGGGAGACTGTAGAATACAACCTCTTTGGACAATTTATATACTTATTGAAAACAAGCTACAAAATGTAATACCTTGGAAAATGCCGTTTAATACTTTTTAATAGCCTTAATTTTCGCTAAATTGATTTATCAACTTTGAATACTTTTTAAGACCCCGCGGACACCCTGTATTTATATGTACATTTGAGTGATAAAAATACATCCTATGTTGTAAAAGAGTTACCATAAAGACTGGAAGTGGTGAGCAAGGCTCGAGCTTTGTCCGCCAGATCGCTGTTGAGTGTGGAGCCCAGCCTCAGGATGTCTATGGCCTCCTGCTTAGAGCTGTCGAAGAAGTTGTTCTGGATGGTCCTCGTCACAGAACGAGCGCCATCTTTTAGCTTTCCAACCTACGAACAGACACACACACAAAAAACACCCAGATTATTAGCTCTACTCTTACTCGGTGTGAGAAATAGTCTGTAGTTCACACACCAACCACGGAAGAGAAGAAAAGCAGGAACACAGAGTAATATAGATTTATGAACTGACCAGGAAGGATCAAAACTTCACAGGAAGGTTTTTCTGATTGATGTGGTTTGATTTAATGCCACATGGTGATCATTTGAATTGGTTTGTCCTTGTTCATCCAATAGAAACAGATAATGTAGGCAACAGGAAACGATGCTGCAGTAAGATCACTCAACACGTGAGGGCACCATATCAATTTCCTTTGTTTTCTTTTTAACTTGATTTCTGTGGATCAGTAGAGGTCTCCATGGAGATTTCAAAGGTGCCAGGTCAAGACAGTATACATAACACGGAGGGACACATAATCAAGTTTTAAAAAAAAATAACCCCACCTAGCCCATCCTTCATCATCATATAACCCACAGACACTGAAATCAATAATGCACCAGAAATAGACCGACGGTTAAAATACAACATGGACTGGCTTGTTGACTTACCACAGAGGTAGAGAGGTCCAGAGGAGAGCAGAAAGAGACAGCACACAAGAGTTAAGAAACTGAAGCACACAGTTCTACACACAGAGGATCAACGCTGTCACTGCATGCACCGTAGCACACAACTAGACATTATTTAAAGTGCTATTTATGGTTTAAGATCAAAGTTCGAAGGTAACAATTAGGCCCCCCTTTGTTCCGTCAATTTTAAGAGAATTCCACTTTACTGCTCAGAGCCATTTCTTGTGATCTTCCCTCAAGCTACAACGTTAACTACATTAGCAGACCATAACTAGACTATGTATTGAGTAAATAATTGTCATGCAGTGCTTTATTTCTATGAATGAATGAATGACTGTGAACTTGTATATTTATGGGTATTAGGCGTGTCCATATTGTGTACCTTGGCCTTGCCATCCAGAGCACCGGTGCCCGCGTAGATCTTACTGACGGAGTCGCCGTTTGCAGACCACATGGTCCTAAAAACCTCCTGGAACCTGGCCACCAGCTGGGGTTTCTCTGTCAGACCCATTTCCTCCAGCTGCTTTGGTAGCATCTGGTGAGGTGAGGAACAGGAAGTAATAACTATAAGCATGAACTCAAGAAATATATGGATGCGACGGGAATCATATGCTCTTTTATAACAAAACAAAAGTCTCACCTCAAGGGCAAAGAAAGCCTGAACACTGTTGGTTCTGTCCAGACAGTCCAGGCAGTTTGTCCTTAGGGTCCCACCTTGAGTTCTACAAAGACATGTTCAAATGTTAAGAATCAAAAACCCCTTTATACTTAATTATACTTGTTTGTATTTATTTTCACCTTGCAATGCCTGTCTCTCCAGAGTAGTAGAAGAAGCCACACTCCTCTATGAACTTGCTGAGGTAGGGTTTTAGGACACTGTGCAGTTTGTCGGCCTTTCCCCCCTTCACATTTTGATGGTAGTCGAAGTTCACCATTTTCACCGCTGTTGCATGCTCTGATGCCTTCAGGTGACTCTGAGCGTGACAGAGAGAGGAAGAGGATTATCCCCTGAAATTCAAACTGAATGCGAAACTGTTGTGCGTGCATGGCCTGTCCCAGCACGGACATGCCTATTTTAGACGTTTATTTTTCTCTAACACAAAAGATGGGCATTCAAAAGAACTATGAGCCAAGTTTGCCATATATAAACAATATGTGAAGCATTTTTAAGTACTTCCCACTGCTTAAGAACCACTTTATGTTTGCATACAAAGTGAACATGAAGTGTTGTTCTGCACACTAGAGGATGGCAAACCAGAACAAATGTAGTTTCTACTCTGGATTAGATTAAGGTTGGACTAATTCTGTATTGTTTGAAGCATCAGGAAGTACACGTCAGTGTCAAAGGACGAAAAATAGCTTCCCTCACCTGAAAAGCTTTGCTGAGCATGTGTTCCCCTTCCTTACTCCCAAGTAGGTTGATGATCACCTGTTTACCATACAACCTTCGCAGTGTGGTGAAGTGTCTGGACAAAACATAATACAATCACATAATATGCATTGTTAAGGTAAAGACAACATCACAGACTAATAATACACCTATCGCAGCGTTTATCATAACACGTAAAAGTGTCCATGCTTGGTACCAACGGTAAAGATAGATAAAAACACACAAATCTCTCAGATTAAAATAAATAGCGCATCTCAACACCTGCTGGGCTACTGTACAGGCATGATGCTGTTAAGACTATGACATGTTGTGTTTTCAAACTGTTTTGTGTGATAAAGGAATGCAAATTACTTTAAATAAGATATGAAGACACATTAGAAATGGCAAGGATATAAGGATTCAAGCTTCCCTTTTGGAGTCAACAGTGAGTTATTAATGTGGGAATACAATTACACGTATGAGTGGAATGAGTGCACAAAACTGTTTATTAGGGGGGTATAGTTTTGCAAAGTAGTCGAGACTAGTGGAAGGAACAATGTTCAAAAGAGGCATTTCAATAACCACAGGCCTCACCATCAAGTGTTAAGAATATTGCAGACATGGATTAATCATCAGTAGCATCCAGCAGCAAGAACATCAGACAAAGGCTACTAATACAGTGTTTCTAAAAATATGTTCTTGTTGGCCTTGTACTTTAATAGGCATTTTTAAGATAGACATATACTGTAAGGCAGCCACTGCAAACAAGAAACAACTAGATATAGCAACCGATGAGTCATGAGTACAGATCTGGACAGATATTGAGAAAGACTGGCTGCATTGCCAACTATTTAGTGTGAGAAAAATACGCATTTGCTGTAAGATACAACTGGTGCACCATCTGACAAGCTTGTCTTAACACGTTCAGCATGGCCGCTCTGATAGGGAGGCTACAGAAAACAGATAAGGATGAAGCCAGGCACGGTACAATCAAGGAGTGCCACAGTGATTAGAGAGATCATCTTCTAGCTAGAGAGCCTGAGTTTAGCCCAGTGACTGACATCCCACCTGGCTTCATCAAACTAACCAATCTAAAGGGAGCTGTTGGTAACCCTGCATCTGCAATGTGTCTGTAGACAGGGAGAGCAACAACCATTTTACTGACCACCTGGTCTCCAAAATTAACTTCCAGTTAAGACAAGATGAGTAATCAAAGACTCATGTGGTAGCATAGCTCTTTGTCCAACATTCTAAGTAGAGCTTGGAGGCATGAGAAATATGCGGGAAGTTACAAAAGGACTTTTGCAAAGAAACTGTCCGCAATACATATTAAATGCAGTTTATTTAGGGTGACAGCTGATCAAGGGCTACCAATTTGTCCTTTCTGTTCTCTGCAATAAACCGGCCTCTGAGGACACACTTCAATTAACATCTACCCCTTTAGGAGTCTGAAGAGCCTTTCTCTGTTCTGCCCTGGGCAGTGCAGCAGGAGATGTAGTGTTATGGTGTTTCCTCTGACCCTCAGAGGAATAGAAATCACACACAAACACACTACACAGAACATTTTAATTACCTTTCGAATGCGGGCGCATTTGCCTCAAATCCTCTTGACAGTTTGACACGATGAGAGCCGACCTGCAGGTCAGAGACAGCAAGACAAGACAAGACACAAGTCACAGTGTCCTTTTTAATTTAATACACTTCATTTTAAAAAGGGACGCTGCAGAAACACACATGCTGCAGATAACCAGAAATCCTGGTGGTGAAAACCGAAGTTGGGATATACATTTTGAATACAACATTTGACCAACGGAAACAAGACCTTGGTAGTGAAAAAGAAAAAAAAAGAGTGTCGAACAGCGACAGCAACACGGGGTCAGCAGAGGGAGATTTGTTCTTTCAGAGACACTGAGCAGCAAAGAAATCCTGTTGCCTGTCACCTTATTGGAATTTTTTTGTTTTGCTTTTTCGCCCCACTAATTTTAGCGTATATTTTCATTTTGCTTCCCTCAGGAGAAACACCAAAGAGCCTTACAGAGAAGTAAAGGCAGACATGAACACACCTTGACAGGTTGAGCATGACACAGAGGATTTTAAAAGGAAATGTACTCTCTGCACTGCAGGTCCCTACTTGTCCCCTACCCATCTCTGCCTTTGCATTACCATTCTCAATTTGTATCTTGCTTCTCTTCCTGTCACTAATAGCTTGTCATCAACGCAATCAAATCAAATTGAATCACCCTCCAATTAGGGTTCTTCCTCTTCCGCTTCCTACTTGTCACTCAATTCAGGTCCCAAGCAAAATACATCCATTCTGCATTCAAACCAGTCAATGATTGTCCCTACTGCGTGGTCTCCGGGGACATTAAGGGCCAGCATTTCTGCATGTGTCCATTTTGGCTAGGCTTGTGTTTGCCAGTGCTAGACCTTTTGCTCCATGCTGCTGCCATTTTGTCACAACTTCCTCTAAATGCTGTTGTGCAAGCCTACTATGCATATTTAATAACTTCCTGAGATAACATCTGAAAGGACTCGGGTAACAGTTGTACACCTTAGAAGAAAACCCATTCACATCCTACTCAAACTCTATAACATAACACCTGGAGTCTAGCTGGTCAAATCACCTCTTTAACTCACTCTGATTGTATACTACTAAGATACATTTCAAAGTCACTTATGTCATGCCACCTACAAGAACATTAATCATGGAATATTCATCAGTTATTTGGACCTATAATTGGTTGAGACCTTTGAGTGCAGTTCTTAAAATCTAGTACTTTTTAAGTATAAAACATATTTGCAAATACTGTTGATGCAACATGTGATCATTTTTCACTGATGACTGATTCACCTAATGGTGCTTTCCCGAAAGCAACCATAAACAATGATTAACTGAGTTATGTTATCATCAACCAGAAGTCTAACTACTAATCAGCTAAGAGGGCGCAGCTCTACCACTTTACTGATTTACATATTTCCCTGCCAGGCTTTATGACACTTCACTATTAGTTCTAATGTAAACCAACAGTTTTTTTGTTCAAAAAAAGAACGATTGATCTTTATACAAAAACTACCCATCCGGCTCAGGGAAGGAATTACAGAATATGGGGAGTGGGGAGAAAGTAAGCCGACAAAGACACAATCTGTCGAGGGGACTATGAGATAAAATGGTGCTTTACAAGCAGGAGGACTACTGTTCTGTCTGAAAACAACCCTGAGCCCACAACCCTGTGTTTAAAGAAACCGTAGACCTTGCTGAATAGAGATTTCACACTGACTTAGGGAAGTGGTTAGGGGATGTTTTCAGACCAGGCTTTCACCTGATCAAAGAAGTCTAGGAGCTGAGGAAAACAGAAAAGGGCCCTTTACCAACAAGCCACTATATCTATCATAAACCTGCCCCACGTTAGATTTAAACCACCACTCTGTGCAATGTCAGGACAAGGGCAAGAGAATCCCACTGGTGTTGTTTAAGGTGTGCATCTGGTGGGTGATCTTAGTTCCTGCTTTAGTGTATGGGATCTGGATACATGTATAAAATGGGATTCCCTTGGCTTTCACCCCTGGCTGTTGGCATTGCACAGAGAAAGTCCTATCTGCAGTATGAAAGCGCCAGCACCAGCAAGAGCAAAAAAAAGAAGATATACCAGGTGGGGGTTCTCATCCATTCCATTACGATGCCGATTCTCATTCAGTTGCAACAAAACACCCTTTATGGACTTTTTCTGAACATAGCATGGACAAAATGTGTTAAAACTACCATAAAGATATCTCGTGTAATAACAACATGTGGTATTCTGTCACATTTGCTATATAACATTTTGTATTAATGAAAGTGTGAACAAACTCATGGAGGGTTCATTAGAGGTCAGTATCAACACTTTGGCACTCACTGACACCGAGCCTTATCTACAACTGCAGCATACAAAATGGGCACAAGTTCAACATAAACATGAGGGCTGCTGCATGATTTTCATATGATGTCGCTTAATATATGAAAACCTTTTTTTAGGACAGGTTTAGTTTCCATTACCTGAATTCCTGGCTGTTCCCAGAAAAGAGGAATGGACCCACGGATCTGTATGAAGGATGATACTTTGTCATCCAGGAAAATAACCTGTTCAAAAGAAGAGGATCATTTGGTTAAGTTCATTTTCAATGTGGCAAAGCACAGATGTCAATAAAACTCTAATTGTTTTATGACTAACTGTATGATGCAGAAATAGCGATAACACCACTGTGTTTCGATAGACAATGTCAGCCTGTGTGTCTGTGGTCACTTTGGACAAGACAACAAAGGAAATGTGAAGGAGAAATCATTTCATGGAGTGGATGGATTTTTTTGGTGATAAGCTGATATTTTCAAGGAAGAAATCACCAATCATCACCATGGGTCAAAGCTTTCAAGTGGTTGGCAAAGATAACCAGCACACCTAGTAATACAGTATATTCTAACATTAAAAAAAACGTTATACTCAATACACAAACAAAGCTCTAAATGTTAAATTTCTATTCAGACTTTAACTGAAAGACTTTGAAGGACCTGTTTGGTGGTTTTCGGGGTAGCAAATATTGGTGAAATTGTGCTACAGTTTATTATAATTTTAGTAGTTCCAGTTATTCTGTCCAACTGATAGCTTTGTGTTTGTGTTCTGAAACAGGAAGCATAAAAAAGGGATAATGCAAAGTGAGTAATTTCAAAAAATGCAGAGCTGAAAAGTAAGTTTGTCTATTAAAATATAGATGAGTCAACAAACATTGTGCTGACTCAGCAATTAAAGCAAAAAATACTGACTGAAATGAAGTTTGCTAAATAAGGAAGTTAAACTTCTGCAATGTCAAGAGCTTCAGACTGGAGCGTTACCATTAAATCAGTTTGCTGCGATTTCATTATCATAATGGTTTTCCTCTTATGTTTGTAGGTTAACCGTGCACCTATAATTATTATTGTTGAACAATTTCCTTCCCCAGTGACAACACAATGTGCTGGAGCAATAGAGTTTCGGAATGAAGCTGCACCAGGTTTTCTCCTTAACAGTCAATAGATAACCAGTGTTTGAACAGACTGTATTAACAAAAGGTCATGTGACCATTCACAGGGGCATATAGAAACGGATGCAGAAAGAATCAAAGGTCTGAGTCACCTGTTCTGTCTCCACAAAGTTGGCCACCTGTCCGTCGTCATTTGCTCCTCGGACGTTGAATCTGGTGCCGGCTCGCTCTGAGCTGAGGCGGGAGAAGATGCACGCCTTGGCCTGTTTGTGCCCTGCGTAGATGGTCCTGATCTCCACACCGCCACACATCAGCCTCAACAGCCAGTCGTCGCAGTTTACTCCGTAGTGTTTCAGGTGCAGGTGCAGAGATTGGTTCCTATGGATTAATCAAGATAACACAACAGTTAACACACAAACCAATTCAGTGTGAACAGTGAATCTTCCCACGTTAGTTGCAAATCACACAGCCCCAATATCACACATTCAGAGGAAACAATTTCACCAGAAAGACTACAGATTGCAGAAAGCATACTTAGTTCATACAGTATAATATGTGAGTGTTGAAGCCAAATACCTGACTACTACTCTCATTATAACCTTTGAATAGTAGAAATGTCATGCTCTTACCAAAAGAAGCGGTTATCTGTTGTGTCCTCTAGGATCCTGCGATGTGCACTTAGACTCAGGTCCATGCTAACTCCAGAGGCAGACCAGGCAAAGTAGAAGTGTCCTGAGTTCAGGACCTTTCGCACTTCAGCAATCCGGTCCTCATCCGCTGGATCATTCTTCAGCGATATAAAGTCTGTCTGTGTGACCCTGAAAACCTCAGAATCCTGCACCTTCCCCACAGAGCTGCATCCTGTCACAACCACCAGACTGTGGAGCATGGAGTCACCTGCACACGTAAGGAGTAAGAAAAAGAGACATGAGAGAGAAGCAAAAGCAAGCAGTAAGTAGATGGATATGATTCGTTGCATTCAGGAATAATACATTATAAACATTAAGAGACTGGACAAGAAAAGGTTTGAGTACACTTTGGTGTCAATCCTCGAACAAGGAAGTCACCAGCCTGTCAAATCTCAGCCATCTATAATCTTTTGTGTGGCTTTTTCCTTGTTGTGATAACAACAGCCTTCAAGGTCATGCAAAGGGCAGGAGAAAGCAGCTTAAAAGTAAGCAGCAACATAACTACAAACCAGAGGGGCGTTCACAGTCACACAAGAACCTGGGGGTCACCAGAAATGTCTGCAGCGAGGATGCATGCGTAGAGAAGATGCGTCTGTAGCTTACCCAGGTTTAGGCGGAGGACGCCCAGGATGCCATAGGCATCAACAATCTTGGCGTATGTGTTTTTAATGGCATCCTTCTCTGCTGCAGCTAGAAGAAAAACAAAGGCAATACAATGTGAAGCAAGTATTGGTAGTGATCTCATTTTAATTTGTAAGTAAATGTAGCCTTTGACTTAATCATTGTACAATATCATGTCAATCACTTGGTAGTTAATGTCTCTAACAGCTGTGTTTCATGTCAAGAGTTTTGAGTATATACATTATCTCCCATTACACAGCATTCAAACAGGATGTCTTACAAAGAACAGCAACGGCCCCCGATTCGAACATGAGGCATTCTTCTTTGCCTCTAGTTTCCACTATAACACTGTAGGGGGGTGGGTCCAGTTTGTGGTAAATGCGATATCCTTTGCTGAAGGCCATTGTTGATCCAAGATGAAAACACCTATTTTATATTTTATGACCTGGAAACCAAAAAAAGGATAAAACATATCAGATCAGAGACATTACCAAGAAAAAACACAGCATCTGCAATTCAATAGCAACTGGAGCGTAAGATGGGCTATTGATTTTTGATGGAGAGGGGTGACCTATGATGTGACCATAGACCTTTTGCTTTTTGGGAAAAAATCGAATCATGATCATTTTGATTGCGTTTTCCTAAGCTAACGTTGGGATTTAAGCAAGTATTAAGGCGTTTCAACGTCGAAATACCAATAAATGTACATCTCTTTGACTGCAGGTTATACAGGTTTTGTATTCATGAATGAAAGTATGCCCAACACACAACATACATCTAACGTATGATTAGGCAATGGCATTACACATTGCCTGATTCAGAACTTCCATTACATAATCAGAAGCCTAACGTACTATCAAATATCGCCAAAGCCCAAGCATATGACTAACTAATCTTTTTAAATGAATTTCGCTAGTAGCTGGAGATTATGATCAGCACTAACACTGTGAACGTTAGGCCGGTGGACTGAAACATCATCCATCCCGACACGGACAGTCACGACTTTACAAAGCAAATGCAGCAGGTTAAGCTAACGCTAACGTTTACCCTCCAGCTAGCTTTAACACTGGATTATTTGACGTGCGAAACCAATTAAGAAAGCGAGATGGATAAACCGAGAGAGCTGTCTTTTACCTACCAACCGCTAGCTGGTAACGTTAGCTAAGTTAGCTACATTAATCACAGGGGTTGCTATGATTCGCTAGCTGACGATGTTAAAGATGGTACTACCTGTACGTTCGGGAGGATAGGCTGACATTTACTCACACACACATATGAGCGACTCCGTGATGTAAGTATGCCTGTGTATATATTTTAATTTCGTTTTTTTAATTTTACAATTCTGCGTTGGATTTAAATAACATAGGGAAAAGGCTGAGGATTTGGTCTTACCGTCTACCCCCGCCGGGTTGTTATTACGCTGTCACAACAGAATCCTTCCCGGTGTCTTGGCGAAAATGGTACATTCCGACGCAAAGCACGCCTACCTCACGTTACCGTAATACCAAGTGAAACTGTACCGTAAAAAAGTCGAAGGGCGCATTTAAGTCAATTAAAAATGTTCCAAGTTGAATCAACTGAAAGTTCCTTAGGGTTATTTAAATACATGTTAGAAATGGTTAAAATTGAATAAAATGCCCGTTACAGGAAGTCGGAAATGTTCCTGCCCGGTTTGGCTCATGACTGACAGGTTTACCGATCGAATGAACGCAGTTCCGAAAGAGTACTGTCCAATCATATGTGGTGAGGGGCGGGACTTGGGCGTTTCATAACAACGCCGTACTCTTCTGTATAAAACAAGAGCTCTGACTGACCTCGTAAACAGAATGTTTAACAAGTGTTAATTGATAGATTAAAATATAAACCAGGCGCCTATCCAAAAGGTGAGATTCAAACTGCTTCTTCTTGTCATCATGTTATATGCAAATAACTTAAAGTCTAAGCTGTTGTTGTCTTCTATTGTGTACCTAGCACTGCACATTTCGCTGTTTCACGGGAACAAAGTGTGCAATACAGGGTGTTCTTCCAATATTCTAGTTAATGATTCCAACGTTCAGATAATGTTGTGTTGATACATGTAGAGAAAACGTTCGTATCGATAGTTATGAAAAGGCAAACATAGAATAACAAATATAACATATAGGCTACACTACTTCAAGTTCCACGTAGTCTTATGACTTGAATCAATTAGTTGTACTATTTTAAGAGGACTTAACTCATGTGTTTGCAAAGCACACTGTACCTTAATATAAAAATGACAACAGAATAACAAATCAATATGTTATTAGCTGTTGTCATTTATACTTTAGAACTGTTTTAGAAATATGGTCATACGCTTCACATGATATCTGCTTTGACATGCACAGTCAACCAGTATTTGTTACCTTATTATCTGTGTTTATGTTTATCTCTAAATGTGTTCTCTTGATTTCTTTTCCAGGGAATATTGGTGCTCCTCAAAATGAAGGGTCTTTTCCTGGTGGAGCCTATTGTTGCACTGTACGCTTTCTCCAGTTTTCTCATCTATCCTCTTGTGCAGCAATATGTTTACCGGAGGCTCTGGCAGGAGCTGACAAACACCACCTATCCCGTCTCTGCCAATGCCTCCAGATGTGCAGAAAACAGCAGCGCCGGCAGCAACCATTCCAGCTTTCATGAGGTCAGTAACACACTAATAACTGGACGTAACACAGGTGCATGCAACTCAAGATAAAAATGACATTCTCAATTATAAATACAGTTTTTTCTTTCCTTCCACTTAAGAAACACTAAAAAATAATCCACTTATATTAACATTCCCAGCATCCACCTGTTACATTTTCAGTGTAACAAGTACTGGATATTGCATTTATGTATACACAACCTTTACCTGTGTTTTCCACCTCCTACACTGTAAGGCATGTGACTCTTACTCAACATTGTTGTGTAAGGGTTTCTGCATATTGATGAAAGAAATGTCTTGCTTACAAAAAAACAAGTCGGGCTTCATAAAGTTACCTCAGCAAACAATTTAGCTCTATCCATAGTTGCAATAGTCAATTATTCCAAAAGCTGCAGTTCTTATCCCTTTCTGTGTTGGACCCTTACTGTCACGACACTGCATAGCTTTTCCTATAAACCTTTCAGATCTTGCAACACACTGTCACAGGTAAAAACAACTGATTCAGCTACTGTGCCATAAAGTGATATGACATGGAAACCTGTGACTAAAGTGACAATCTTATTAAATCATCATAGTCCTTCCAGAGCACATAATCAGTCATCCATTTGCAGCAAAGATATACTGCAAAAGTACTCGAAAAAAGTGTGACCATTATTGATGGTGTATTTATAGAGTAAGAATTAAACATACCAGAGAAGTGAGAGCGAACACTGTTCTGGAAAAGCCTGTTTGTATTTTCTTGAAAAGCCCTTCCTGAACCTGTTGTACTGTAGATAGCTTTGTTCCTTTTGGTCCTTAATAAGAAAACCTCACATGATGCTGAAATCAGTCTGTGTTGGTTTCATGACATTTCATTATCACTTACTTTCATCAAATTTAAATGCACACAGTTCAGACTCAGCCCATACATTTCGGACATAACCATGCTCTCTCTTTTCTGTGTTTTCAGGAGGTACAGAGGCAGGCATCTCTCTTCTCCCTCTACACAAATCTCTTCTCTGCAGTCCCCTCCTTGGTGGTCACCCTCATGCTTGTGGCCTACAGCGACCGGGGAGGACGCAAGATCACAATCATCACGCCTTTGATTGGCACGTTGGTCTACACCTTGTCCTTCCTGGCGATATCCTACTTCGAGCTCAACATTTACTTCCTCATTGGCTCATCGCTTCTCAGCTCTCTGTTTGGCGGCTTGGGCACATTTCTTGGGGGCTGTTTCGCCTACATAGCGGACTTGTGTGAGGATGGTAGTCGCAAAACCCTGCGCATGGCTGGAGTGGACATGATGATTGGCCTGTTGTCGGGGGTGGCCTCGATATCAACAGGCTACTTTCTGAAAGCTGCAGGCTTTAATTGGCCATTCCTAACCTCTGCGTTGGTTCAGTGTTTTGTCCTACTCTATGCCATTTTCATCCTGGAAGAGACTGTGAAAAAGGCTCCCACTGATGCCATTCTCCTAGATGGGTCTCCTCAGCGCTCCGCTATGAAACAGCTGATCTACGGTATCTACCACATGTTTGCAGGGGCCAACCTCAGGAGTAGAACTCTCTTGGTCCTCCTGATACTCATTTTCACCAGCTTCTCCTTCGCCTACGTGGGTGGTCTCTCCTTGATGACACTATATGAGCTGAATCAGCCACTGTGCTGGACAGAGATTATGATTGGCTACGGCTCAGCTCTGTCCATGTCTGTGTTCCTGACCAGTTTTTTGGGAGTGTCTGCGTTTACGTACTGTGGAGTGCCACAACTGGTCATCATCCTGATGGGGATCCTGTCTGTCGAATCAGGCATGGTCCTGTTGGCCTTTACCAAGACCACCTTCATGATGTATATAGGTGAGACGAAATTCTGTAACAACTATTCTGCGGAAACTAATAATGTGTAATCGTTTTTAATGTGCTGTTTAGTTTGAAAAAACATCACCAAAGCCTTGACTGTCAGATGTTTACAAGGTTTAAAACCTTCACCTTGTTTAGTTTTTGCATATAAAAATGTGCATTGACATTACAGTCAACAGAATCTGCCTTTCACACCAGCTTTACAAGGTGTAGAAATCTTTAACCACAGTGAAATATGAATTGACCTTAATTAGTGATGTTTGTATTTTAGCATTTGATGTGGTTACACTAAAGTCTCTGCATTATGATGTTTAACCGAGAGTATTTTTCTCATTTTTCTTTCACAGTGTGGGTGCCAATGTTTCTGTCTATCATGCCTTTCCCTGTTATTCGTTCCATGTTATCCAAGATCGTCTCAAAGTCTGAGCAAGGTGAGTAGAATCAGGGCTTTTGCAAGAGCCACAGAAGCGTGTCTGAGTCTTTGTTTGAAGAGTCAGAGTCCATTGAAGAGTTGCTTGTCCAAGCAACTTCAAAATGCACTCCAAAACATAACACTCCGACTTTCTGTTCCTTAAAGCAAACAGAATTTTGGAGCTAAACTGTGATTTCAGAAATGTTGTGTTTTTTGTCACCTTATCACTTCTCTTCTCTCCGCGGTGTGTTTTTGCAGGAGCCCTGTTTGCCTGTCTTTCCTTCCTGGAGAGTTTAACTAACAATATATCGGGCGCAGTCTTCAACAGCATCTATGCTGCTACGGTGGCATGGTACCCTGGCTTCGTCTTCATGTTGGCTGCAGTGCTCTGTGCTATCCCTCTGTTTATTTTAGGGTAAGTATATATTGCCAAATTAAACAAAACCACATTAAATATCCTACTTTTGCTAGTTTTACTACAAAGAGCAAATACAGTTTCATGATTGAAGCATACAACCATACTTCAAAATGGTTGTCAGAGAGCATTCTACTTTATACCCAACATTATGTGTTAGTTTAATAACAAACAGAGCAGTACACTATATGCTGTGCATAGAGCATTAGAGCTGTACTCTGTGTGGATTGAGTTACATTACAAATGATCTATTTTGTGCTGAGTCACTCACTACCTGTTTTGCTTGACTAAAAAAAAGAGAAATGCCATCCCTGATTTAGGCATCCGCAAAGAAATTGGTTCCTCATTCTTGCAACATTCAAATTCTCTCATTGAACTGTTTCCCTCTTCACATAGTAATATAGATATCTGAGATTCATGCTGTCTTATCATATATATAAGTCGAGTTCTTAAAGATCTGTGGTACCCTGAGTTCTTACATTTGTTTTGTGACACTGAGTTGGCAAAATAGTGCTGCTGCTGAGTCAGTTTAGGAGCGTGAAACATAAAACTCCTCGAGTGCTCTGTCTGTCACGGGCACTGTTTCTTCTGTTACATGCTGAGTAGTTATAGAATAACACAGCCACTGGTTCAGCAATCTCAGACTTACAGCCAAGGACAACATGGGCTTCACACCCTGACTTTGGCAGGTGAAAACAATTGTTGAAAGTGTCTCTAACTCAGGCAAGTGGATGCGGATTTACAGAGAAAAGCTACTTTGAGAAGAAAATGTAGTTTTAATTCGTAGTAAGTTGATGAAACCCATGCTTTTCTGCCTCTAATAATGCTTTTTTCTCTGTGTTTCAGAGTGGTTGCAATATTAGGAGTGAATGTTTCCGAAGAGGTCACAAAGCCAGAGCCTGTCTACTCAGAGGAGGAGGAGGGTCTTTCTGAAGATCACAACGACAGGACTGCTATTCTTACCTGAGCCATATCCGCCAAAACCTCACAAGCACTTTTTACTTTAGTCATCTACTTTAAGACTTTTCTGTGTTTTACCTCAAGGACTGTTGATCTCAGTTTTAATGGACAATGCAGGTTACATATTATTCTTATTTTGTTTTTATTGCTGTGGTTGATTGTGCTATTGAAGTTCAATAGTATAGGAAAATACAGTAGGTAGTTGTATGCAAACAGGTTCTACCAGAAAATCATATTTTTTAAATATGAAATATTAACATTTAGAATTGGATCAAAATGGTAACATACAACAAGGATGTTAAGTGCCATGCATCCAAAAGCTCAAAATGGCCTGACTGTGACACTGCTAATGCTTTCAAAATGTATGTGTTTTGATACAGTTTAGCAGTGTGATATGATTTGCAATTTAAAAGTTTCAGTTATGTGAAGTGATTCAGATCTGTAACCTTTTGTCTTAAAGTCTCTCCTCCATTGGCTGTTATAGTGCAATGTTAGTAAATGCCCTTACAAAGAGCTCCACTGTCACTTGTTCCTTAAAGGTAATTAAATGCAAGGCACTAATTATACAATATCACATAAATCTAGATTATTATATAATGTTATGTAAACCAATGTTTTAGTATACATGTGAATGTATAAACAAATCCAGTCAAGCAACCCCCAAAAAGAAGAAGGGGGGTTAATGGGGAACTGTTCTTTTTAAGAAATGAATGGTCTCTATTCACAACTTGTTATGATTGTCCTCGAACAATCAAATTCCTCATAATAGGACATTACAATATTTAAAAAAGGAATCATTGGGTTTACTTAGCCAGGATGAAAGATGTAGTTAAATATAACATGGAAAATGGTGCAGGTTTTATCAAATGTGACTGGAATATGTTACTTCTATGTGTCCACCCTGAACTCTGCCTTATTGAGGAAGCTATAACAGGATGGAAATGCAGGAATGGTTTAAGATAGACCACCCAGCAGGAGGTGTTGTGGTTTTGAATCTCAATTAAAAAATGTGTATCATTGAAAATAAAGCGATGCAGTTTGAGTATTTGTATGATTTTGAGTTTATTAAAAGTGCAAAAAAGAAACCCCAAAAATCTATCATGTTCATTTATGTAAAAGTGTATCTCTTTGTGTCAAAACAATTTGAAAAAAAATAAAAGAAATGAAGTGATTTTAAAATTGAGTATCCAATGACTTCCTCTAACACTTTTGGAGATGTATGTGATGTGTCGTCAAGTACTTGCTAAATGTATTAGCAAAGAAAAAAAAATCAATGAGGCATCCAGCCGTACAAATATGCAGACTTTCTTATCATGTGTAATGTTTGGACTATAAACACCAATAATACAAATAAAATAAAACCTTTTTAGATAAGAATGAATAAAAAAACTGTCCATAATCAAAGACGGATTTCAAAGGCCACCCCAAATATTCACTCAGAGAATATCAGGTCATTCTGATGCAGAGTTGCACATATATGAGCTATCGCCCCTCTATGTTCATCCGAATATTGTCCATTCTGATGTACAGTTTCAAAATATAAGATCTTTGAAGTCTCATATATGAGCTATCGTCTCTATTTTTAGATAAGAATAAATAAAAAACTGTCCATAATTAAAGACTCATTTCGCTTCAGGGTGATAACAAGCCACCCCAAATATGCATTCTGATGTAGAGTTTCAAAGTAAAGTATATTTTAAGTCTCATGAAAGGAAGTCTAAACACGAAGTTAGTCTCATTATCTGCACTTAATTATAGTGAATATTCTAAGCAACTGTTTTTAAATACAATTATGTTTTAGAGCCAGACACAATTGTTTTTAATATACAGCCCAACATGTTCTACCAGAGTGGGGATCTGAACCCTCTTCTCACAACGATCTGGTTATGCTCCATGCTTTAACCACTGAGCTATACAGCAGTTTAAACAGGCAGGATTGATTTGGAACAAGTGGATCACATGACCTTTTGTCTTTTCGTCCCTTGGAGGTGAGGGGTGTCCCCTTTATTTAATAATAATAATAATTGTATTATTAATTATTTGCATTTTATTTTAGTATTTTATTATATATAATTATTTGTTTTTCATCCCTCGGAGGAGGGATTATTATTATTATTAATAATAATAATAATAATACATTATTTGCATTGTATTTTATTATGTAATTATTTGTTCAGGTCCCTTGGAGGTGTTGGGGGCGTCTCACTCAGGCTGGCCAGCCTACTCTGTACTCTTATACAGCAATATTTTCAAATGTGAAGTGAGTGGAAATCGGTCTGATTTATTTGAATGTTGTGACTTGTTGATTTTTGTCTGAATACACTATTTGTTCTCCTATCAGGTGTGCATTTTGTTGATAGCTGGCCATACTCTTGAGCCATACACCCAAGTTTATAATTTCTGTAACTTGTACTTTTCTGTTTTTAAAAAGGAACTTCAACAGATCATATCATATATACAGAATTTACTTTGTACAAAACAGCAGACTCGGTCTCATGCACCATCAACATTTAAAATGAAATCTAGTAACCATGCATTCATTCTTCATCCGACTCTTCAAGCAAAGCTTTCTGGGAGCTCGTTTTCGAGGATGTATTTCGCATTCCAATCTCAATGTCCTGTCCCTTTTCTGAGAATCGCTTCACTGTGCTGTTGGGAAAAGAAAAATAAGACGTAACAAACATAGAAATACACATTTGCAGCATATTCAGAGTTAACAATAGTGTTAATATATGAATTTCAACTGTTTTTACAAGCGGTTTCTTCTACATGTCCAAAATGTACTTGGAAGACCACAACCAAAATCCTCATTTTGACCACTATTGCTGCTGCAGATCCATTTTATATTGTATGTTTGCATTCCCTGTTCTACCAGCGTGTGCACAAGAAAGCACAATCGTGTACAAAGATGGTAATGCGAACGTAGTAAAGCACAATTAAAAGGAAAAGGACAACCGCATGTGAACAAATCAGGTTTAAAAGCAACTGCTAATCCTGAAGGCCTAAGCATGTTACACACACCTTTTACCCAGTCTTAATGATACAGTGTATTATGGTGAGAAGTTGAATGTTGACTGTAAATAAAACCATGTTGACTGTAAGAACTTCACAGGGTTCCTTAAAGTGCAGGTTCAGAGACCAGACATACATTTAAAAAGTGCTGTTTTCTGATCAAAGACAGATTTAACAAAGAAATCTCTACTGAAGAAATGGAAAGAGACGATTCTTAAATATGTTGATATACAGTATCAGTTCGCGTAAAAGCCCCAAAACAGGAGGTTTCTTTGGATTTCAACATTAATAAAATCTTATTTTTTTTTTTTTTTTTATCAAATCACTGGCAACGGTCTTTATGTGAAAATTAATCAACCTTTGCTCCAGGCTAGTATCACTGAAAACGACTTTAAGAGACTGATTATATTTCCATAGTTGTTTAGTTTGCTACCGTTGACTTACCCTTGAAAGTTTCACTTCTAAAACTTGTACAGGTAAAAGGATAATGGGATACTTACAACCAAACGAAAGAAGAGGTGCAAGTGACTAAAAGAAGGGCCACAGCTAAATGCCAGCAGAAGCACATTGTGATGAACATGATGTTGTCATGCATCTTCAAGTCCCACACCGGCCCCCTCAATGGGTAAAGTACAAACCCAATCTGAAATGACAAATAGTTAGAGAAAGTATCCTGTGATGCATAATAAAAACATCAGTTGAATTAATAGGCATTTACAAAAAAAAGACATCGTGTCAGAAAAGGAAACAGTGTGATAGAAGACAAATCTCTTACAAGTGAAGTCTCCATAAATAGACCTGGAGAAAACTAATTTGGCTCTGAAAAGTGTACAGAAATGTTTCAAATCTTGTCTCGAATATGAAATACCACAATTTCTTGTATAAAAGTTTTAGTAAATGGGGAATGCACAGATACAACTTTTTTCAGTCCTGATACCGATTCATCGGCCGACATCAGAGTATCAATCTGATATCAGAATGAAATTGATAAACTGTTACTATGTGAAAGAGACTGGGATCCTTCTGTTATGTGTAAGGTCCTCAGACTTGATTTAAACATTTCTAGCTTTGTAAAAAGAAAAGTAAAAAATATACATGTTATATCTTTAAACCATCGCCCAGTGTGTCAATGACACATGTTCTAGCTATTTAAGACTGTATCAAACCTGCTTTAGTCTTCCTTGTTTCGCTATCAAGTACAGTGTATTGAGTACTTTGTCACTGTGTGGTACCACTTGGTAGTGCCTCTGAAAGCCTAAGAAAGGGTAATGGGTATATTCACACTGTGGCCAACACATCACAGCATTACAAGTGTATCATGTTGCTAATCACCTGGTAGAACCATGAGCCCTGCAGGATGAACATGCATGCCCCGAACAGCTCCAAAACAATGTTGTCTTTTATGAACACCTCCACCATGAAGCTGGCCGATCCAATAAAGACAGCAACGAGCAGCAGGGAGTGGATATGAGCGTCCAGAGGGGGGCGCATGTGCACGTGGTAGTAGAACAGAAACCCTGGATGATATGGGAGAGTCAAATGTTACTTAAATACAGTACAAGCAAGCGGGAAATTAGTAGGAAAATGTCACACTATAACCTAGCTTACCTTCAACAAAAAGAGCCAATGACAGAGAAAGGCGGTCAACACCAACCGGCACCAGTTTGGATGCAGTGCTGGCGACAATTGCTATTCCAGATATCCCAAAGAACAGATACATTGTGCCATGCTGCCAGTTCATCAGCTTGACCCATGAGTGGTTCGCTGTGTCGTAGAGGTGAGCATGTGGACCATCCACCACAAACTGTTCAACCATAATACCTGGGACAGGTCAAAGAGACGGGTCAAGAACACGTTTAGATTGTTTAAAGTGTACAGATGATTGACGGGAAAACTGACCTACAAATGCACCAAATATTAGACATCCTCCCTCCAAGTAGTGCATCCGTTTAGAGAAAGGGGGCATAATCTGTCTTCCTTTGGGCTGACTTGTCCTCCAGTAGTGTTGGAGAATGTATTTCACCGTTAGCCAGAAGCCAAGGAGCAGGAAAAAAGAGCCGGGAATGGCATGTCCTCCAAAGTTGGCCATTGTTAGGCCTGGAAACAGAAGAAAAATACATCTTAGTTATCAATTGGATATATTTGATGAAAACACAATTTATTATTTGATCTAAAAGCTCTTTTTTCTTTGTACAACCCCAATTTAGAGATTAAAGTCCAAACCTTTAGCATCATTTTATGGTGTTTATACAAGCATTACAGTGGAAAAAGGACGAGGAAGTGCAGCTGATTATAAAATACACAAGATCACTGCGTGGTAGATTGAAAGTACATTTCATTATATATTTGTATAACAGATCAATGAATACAGTGCAAACCATCACTTGTAAAACATTACTGGTGAATTTCATGTGATATTAATATTAATACATTCTAAATCGGCAAAGGTACACTCAGCGTAGTACAGTAGAATATGCCCTTTGATCCAGAGGAGAGCCGCTCATTTGTCTTGCAAAAAACATATTCAAATTTAACAGGGTGTTTTTTAAATGAAGTTATTGACAAAGCGTTCAAGTAACCTTATTAGAATCGACATTGATCAGATTCACTATCACTGTAGTTGATTTAAACAATGTAAAAGCTGAGTGTGCATTCAATATAATTACTGTGAATTAAAACTGAGACACACTTTTGTAGAATAATCATGTTTTTTTGTGTTTGTGGCTGAATCAAGGCTTCTAAAGTTGACTTGCTCTTGTTGCCATGTGAATTGGCACGAGTGTGTGTAGCATGTTTAGTTTGAGAAGTTTTTCTTGACCTGCCCTGTTCGACCAGATGCGAATTCACATGACACCCTTCCTTTTACACTTTCTACATTCTTACAGATGTTTTCTGCACCCAATAAAATGTATGTATAAAAAATACAATTACCTCAAATATCATATCTGTAGTCTTCACTCTATTGTCTTCCACTCATTGATGACAGTCCCTAATTACTAAAAGTAAAAATACATGTAAAAAAAAAAGTATCCAACAGAAGGAACATACCTTATTTCCTGCCCAAATTCCAGAAAAAGGCTCTGCAAATCTTTGAATCGTGGCAGCTGTTTGATTAGAGTGAGATCACTCTAGTGTAAAGTGTGTGCACCTGTTGTCAGCACTCTAACCTGTGTTGACATCACATAGCCCCACCCCACATTTGCATTAGTTTCTGTCAGCAAGAGACATCCTCCAGGGAAACTGCTGTGACATTCAGACAGAAAAACAAAAGCTAAAGATCATGTTGTATATTCAGGTGCTTAGAGGCTTGTGTTCATGTCACCTTAGTTTAGATAACATGATGCAGAGCAAATAAACACAAAATCAAATATGTTAAGAACAAATTGTGTCATTTATTTATTTAACATGAGTCAGTCTAAAACAGGTATGCCAGAACTAATCCATACAGTTTAGTTAATAAATAAGCTCAGCTACAATCTGTGTGCAGATGGAGAGGCAGGGGTGTTGGCCTGCTAAAATGTACTTTGCACCCACTCATGACAAAAGTTTATTGCCATCATTATCTTGTTAAAATGATCATTCATCAGATGACTCAATAAAATTCTACTTTAATTACGAAACTGAAAAAAAACTATTCATTAAAGCTTAACTTGCCTCATTTAAATAATGTACACTGAATTTTAGACATTTTCCCTGCACATGTGGAGCTTATAGTATAGCACAGAATATTTTCTTTTCTCGGAACGGGTTCTCAGCAGAAGCTAATGGAGTCACCAGGGGGTCTTCTTTGGCATGAGCATCACAATATGCCATCAGATCAGCTGCTGCTTTGGATATCTGTACAGAAAGGTTGGGTTAGTGTGTTTGTGTTGAAAAAAGTAGAGGGGAAGAGAGGATAAAAATACATTTTGAATTCAGTTATTCGATTTTAATTTAAACCACACTTAAAAGACACATTTATTTTTGAATCGTTCAAAATAATACAACTGAGAATGGAGTTTAATCATTGGAATTTAATATTGGTAAAGTTATATCTGTCGAACAAGTTTTTTTTAACATTCAAAGCTAGTTCTAATCTTTTATCATTGGCTGTGTGTACTTCTACAATGTGCGGACTCACCATCATCCTCTCTATGTTGACCTCCAGTTTCAGTTGTTCGACCGTCTTTCTAGCATCTGCAATCTTGGCCATGTTGTTGGACATCCTGCACCTTTCCCAATAAAGTTATCCAACCTGTTGCAAACCAAAAAATGTTGAGTTATCACACGAGAAATAAAAGTTTGCATCGCCAGTTTTTTTTAAATAGAACACTTCAAAGTGCTTTGACATATTTGTGACTACGTGATGAAGGTGTGCCATGGATAGAGTCTGTTTCAATTTGCTCGTTAATTCTGCTCCCTGGGTCTCAGCTGCAAGTGGCACAGGGAGGGTCTCAAGGGAGGAGGGCATGGTGGGGGGGGGAGGCAGAACAGCTTCCCAAGGGGAGGGCATCCACTAGCTGAGAATGTAAATACACCTGACATTAACATTAACTTGTTGCTTTCAGGTTTAACGCACTGGATATCTAAAAAAGTGGTTATGTGTGCTATTAATCTGCTTCTTATGCGTTGCTCAGGTGCTGCCATAGACTGATGAAAGATATCACTTTTGTTGCACCGATTACAAATAAAGAAATGAAAAGCATCCAGGACCAAAACAATTACTCTCTGAGCGTTAAATATACATACAATTTGTTTACTAATACAATTCATACTTGTGAATTTTGTTTGTTAGAGCAGTACACATGCAGAGGTATGCAGACATATATGGTGTTTTTCCCATAACTCTGTACAAGAATAGACACTTTTCAAGATATTTTCAATTATTATAATACCAAACAAGGATAACATCACTCACCGAAAGACAGAAAAAGAGTAAGCGCTGGGACAGAAATCCGCTTGTCTTTGATGGGGGTCCTCCGCAGAAACTAACAGTAACACATGGAGTGAGATTAATGGCAAAGATGGGGAGGAAGGCTTCAACAGCTTCCCTCCTTCACATAACTGTTGTTCTGCCCCCAGGATGGGCTCAGTGCAGCAGTTAAAGGCAACATGTGGCGTGACCTTCATCTCTAGAGTCTCTATCACTCGCTTATCTGAGATGACAGAGTAGCTTTTGTTGTGAGATAGAACATTTAATCTATTTAAAAAAACTGCCTTAACATGGATACGATTTAAATAGCTAATATTTATTATAAAAAAATGAAAAGAAAAACAACTTACTAATAATAAGGCATTCGACTTAATGGGAAAGCCCTTAAGGGAATTGGGTTGTTTTCATGAGTTTAATTGATTTTTAAATGTTTTAGTCAATTCTAAGGCAAACATCAAACCTTTAGTACTTTGGAATATGGCACAATTCAGTGTTACAATACATAGTGGAAGTCTAGAGATGTCATAAACATAAATATAAGTTTAGTCTGACCTCAGCGGGAGCAGTGCTGCCCCTTGGGACACACCTGCAATTCTCTCTGACAAGGTGAGCATCGTGCAGATTTATAGTAAAACAGTACTGACTCCAAATGTCACAGTTATTTTTGTGTTTGAAGAGGGTCATATTAAACTTGACATTAACAAAGGTTCTTTAAAGGTGCAATGTGTATGACGTGTCCAGCATTTTACTTTCAAACTTTCAAATTATCACCAGAATTAGAAGTGGTTACAATGTTGAATATACCTCAGAGTCCTGGTTAAGAAAACCCAACATTTTCGAGGTAAATGATTCAGTTTATGTCAAAATGTGACTAATCTCAGACAGCAGAATTATTTGTCTCATGCCTTTCCTCTACGAGGCATTCATTTTTCCCTGTAGAGCTGACAGTTATTCCACACAGCAGCAGGGGGCAAAGAGGCAGTGGAGCTAAATGTCAAGTGCCTCATTAACATTTGTTTCCCTGTAGTAATTGGTCTCTCACAGTGGATGATAGCCTACTGGACCATATGAGAAGAAAGAGCTGTTGCTTGAACTTACCAACCTCTGACACCATTGCCAAGGGCCAAAAAGATTATTTGCACAGTGTGGTGTTGCATAATCCAAGCAGGGGATGTACCGATTATGTGGTCCTGCTTTGTAAAAACGTAATACTGTTGGCTACGCAAGCCAACCAGAATGTCTCCTCATACATATATTGTTAATTTATGACAGACGCTTCATGATAAGATCAATGAAACCAAAGGGGAGAGAAGAGTGTCTGCATATATCCCATTACCACTTACTGTTTTGACCAACTCCTATTTTCAAGTAAACATTTAAAAAACATCTGTTTTTGGAAAGTTTATATTTTTTCTGAAGACTATATTTATCAGTACCCTCTTGTGTAAACCATTTTGCAAAAACTCACCAGGTAAAGCTGTAATGTAGGATTTCAACATAGAGAAGAACAGGAGCCTCTACAGCAGTTCATAAAAAAGAGTCAGCAATGTGCGGGATTTGGCCAACTGAGACAACCACACGTTTTTGCAACATGTTTTGGTGCATTAAAATAGCCCAAAACATGTTTTTCTTTTAAGAGATCTGTGTCCCAGTGTCATAAAACTGTAAAGGTGGCAATTGCACATATTTCATATTGACACTACATTTACAGCTAGCCCAATCTATTATTTTCAATATAGAGCCCTTGTTGCTGTTTATTTTGCTGCACCTTAGGCATACTGGTAGCAAACCAGTCTTGCTAGTCTTGTTCCTGCTGTATTGACAGCCTCGATTTATTTTTTGATATGGCCTGGAAAAGTCAGAAATAAAATAATTTCATTTTGTTTTTAAAGACAACTTAATTTCACCAGGACTCAGTCACCTTGTTTATTATTATTATTTTACTACAAATGTGTAGTGGATTTCACTGTATTTATTTATTCAGCCTTAAGTCTTCCATATAGATTTGCAGAGTAGCCTACATGCAATTTGCTATGTCAATATATTACCTGCACAGCAATTAATTTGTAAACTAAACAATAATACACACACTGTTTATCACTTAAGTGGCATCAAATCCTCCCTACATTATAGATAAGGATATAAAGGGCTCTTGATATCATATTTGTAAAAGAGGCAGCTTGAAATAATGGTAAAAACAGAACTGATGTAGCTAGCTGAGGTTCAGAGAAGCACCCACCCAGTGTTGAACCATCATGAGGTGGGCGTGTACCAGCAGTGCTAGCTAACATTACAATGATAAAATACAGTCTATGGATAAAACACATTAGTGACTACAGTAAGCTTCATGTTCTCTTCAGACTGTTTCTGATACAGCTTAGACTTATGGGTTAGGAGTCTTTACATGAAAGCCTAGCATGTTAGCTTCATGGTTAATCTTTCAGTAACTAACAGCTCAGACACAGACAGCGGTGATTCAGCGTGCTGCTAGCTAGACAGAAAACCCTTCAAAGGCTCAACACCGATAACAGTCATTTATGTTAACGTCCATCGTTTGATGTATATCGTTGTCGGGTCTCGCCATTGTTTTATTTACTGCTGGGCTTCGATCTACCGAGATGTATGGGATGTCGGGATGACAGGAAGATGGCAAACGGGGTTGGAAGTGAGTAACGTTGGTAAATAGCAGCATGCCTAGCAGATGTCATGCTATCCGCTAGCGGTGAGTGTCGGGTCTGTTGATGCTATCTCCACTGACTTCCTGTACTCCAGCCTCCGCTCTCTGCAGGGGAAGCTGCAAAGATTAATGTCTGCCATTACACTGTTGACAGCTTTGTTTACACTAATGGTCGGTCCTGTTAACACCAACAGTGTAAACGACATGCTTTTTGCGGGCTATTTCCATGCAGTTGTGTGTGTCAATTGTGAGCTGCTGTGCATGTTGGTATCATGACAATGAAGCCAAAAGAACAATAATGGTGTTCATACCAGGCCTGAAAACACTGCAGACAATCAGTTGAATATGAACTATAACACGTTTTTTTCATTTTTCTCTGCAGAACACAAGCTGCTAGTCATTGAACCATCCGAGCCATGGTCAGTGAGGGAGAAGCTGTGTTTGGCCACATCTGTCATGAAGAGTGGAGACCAGAACTGGTACTAATCTATTTTTGCCACGAAGATCTAAAAACTGGTGTCAATGATGATAATCCTTGCTGTGTGTTAATGCACTATGACATTCATTTCTTGGAGTAGCCACATGATTCTGGAGTAAAGAAAATCAGAATAAAATACCATATTTTTACCTGTGGCTTTTAGACTTATGGCTTTTACAAAGTGTGCAGACATTTTGAGGGGTTGTGAGTAGAAACGTTTGTGAACTAGTGGTCTATGATATAGCAACACAGGGGAAACCGTAGTTACACGGTGTAAAAAGTGTTTCGGAGACGGCCTTCAAGTAACGTAGAAAACATGAAAGGCTGTATATGTACAGTATACCTTAAGGGTTCAGTAATCATTACATTACATTACATGTCATTTGTTAGACACTTTTATCCAAAGCGACTTACATACATTCGGTACTGTGGACCAGTGGTTCCCAAACTTTTTGTGCCCAAGGCACACCAAAAGACAAGTAAAAAATCTCAAGGCACACCTATTGTGCAAAATAGCCCTTATAACACGTGTTATCACTCATATCATGTAAAATATCTGTAAATGTGCATAATTATTTACTAATGCCAAATAAAATGTGACAAAGACAACTATATTACTCATGAAATATTTATTAACGAAATATTTCAGAAATTAATTTGAAACTTTATCAAATTAGGCTTCATCAAAGCAGCAACACACTCATTTAAACCAGACAGGTCACAAAATTAAAAATGAGGCAAAGACTCAGCAGAAATTCAGCACAGAGAACTGTCAATGCAAGGAAGCTGCACTGTCCATGGGCCTAACTACAAATTATAAATGTAACATTTCAGCAATCAGCATTGAAACATGTGCTATTGTAAATATTTTTGCCGACTTACAAATGAGTGAGATACATGTGCCTGTCGGGGCGCGCAGATTTTTGTAATCCTTGGTGGCACTGAGGAGAGGGCCACTCGCAAGTCCTGTTCAACAGAGAGCCGTGACCTCCTGTTGTTCTTCATGTAAACCAGAGTAGAGAACGCCAACTCACACAGGTAGGTAGTGGGAAAAAGAAGAAGTTGCTCAATCGCGTGGTGGGAGATGCTTGGGTACTCCGATGCAGAAGCCAACCAAAACTGATCCAGTGGGAGCTCACTAAATTTGAGTTTCAGTGTGCGGTCCACACGGAGCTCTGCGCACTCCTCTCTCTCTTTCATAGTGAGCTTTTCTGTTGGGAATTCCTGGTGGAATGGGTCTCGGATCCAGTCATAGTCCTCGATGTCAGCCACACGTGGAAAATAGCGGTCAAACCTCTCTTTTAAGGTCTGAAGGTGTTTGGCATATACAGCGCGCTCCCTAGCTGCCTGCGGCGCAGCTGATGCCAGCGGGAACATGTCCATGGAGCCCTGTTCCAAAGCCTCGTGCCACAGGATAAGTTTGCCCATAAACCCCCGAATCTTGTCTGTGGATGATAAAATGTTTTCATTCCTGCCCTGAAGCTTGGCGTTTAACTCGTTGAGATGCCCAAATATGTCTGCGAGGTAAGCCAGCCTGGCGCACCACCTCTCATCCGCGAGCTTGTCTTTATGTGGGACAGCGTGTTCACGTGAAAACTCCAAAAGCTCTTCCCGAAGCTCATAAAGACGGGATAGGACTTTCCCCCGTGACAGCCAACGTACCTCTGTGTGGAGGATCAGGCTTTGGTGGTCGGCTCCCATCTCGGCGCACAGCTGGGAGAAGAGGCGAGATTTCAGGGGCCTTGATTTGATGTAATTCACCATCTTCTCCCGTAGTATGGCTTTCCATTTCTTTGCAGAAGAAAAACGTCTCTTTGATAGAGTCAGCATCAACATATCTGACGTTTGCCAGAAGTTGGGCAGCCCCACTTATGTCAGTAGATTCATCTATTTGTAGGGAAAATCTGCCGCTCGCCTGCAGTGCCATAAGACAGGTAACTTTCATGATACTGTCTGCTGACAGTTTTTTTCCTCTTTTCTTTCGGTGGTGGGTTGTCGGCAGTCTGCACTGGTGGTTGGTGGTTTGCTCCGCACAAGAAAGCGCTCCATTTTCCCTCTTGCGTGTTTCTCTGTTTTAATGTTGTCCTTCAGCCTTCGATGTGTCACGGTCTTATAATTCCCACCTGCAACTGCGTTAACAGCGAAATATGGGGTTCTGTGAGGATTTTTTTTTAAAGAATTGTTTTTAGGTATAGAGTTTGCCTCTGTATTATGAAATGAGTGCATACAAAGTACTGATATAGTAAATAAAAAAATAATTATTTTTGTGTAGTTGTATATTACAATAATAACGTATGGTTGTCACAAAATCCCACGGCACACCCGGACTTGCCTCACGGCACACCGTTTGGGAACCACTGCTGTGGACAATCCCCACAGGAGCAATTTGGGGTAAAGTGTCTTGTCCAGGGACACAACGCTTTGTGCTGACTGCAGTGGGACTCAAACTTGCTATTCCCTGATTCGAAGTCCAGCACACTACCCACTCAGCCACATCCTCCCTCAATTTAAACGTTCCTTATTTTTAATGGAAATTACCTTACAGATTATATATTGTCAATACGAGAGGCTCTGTCGTTATCATTGTTGCCCCTTGTCCTTATGATTGTGGTTATTGTGCTTTCATAGTCCATAGACAATGCATATAAAATGAATTTACTATAGCTAAGCATGTAGTTGTTTAGCTGTCTACCTGTAATAGACGGGCATATCGTCCACATTGTGATTTTTTTTTTACTGATACTGCAATAAACTGGGACAGAAATAATAAGTAGCCTTTTCTATAGGCTAGTGTTTGGTGTGCTTTTCATCTTGACTGTCTTACAAAATGTCTCCACCACAACAGGGTATCTGTCAGTCGAGCCATCAAACCATTTGCAGAACCCGGGCGCCCACCTGACTGGTTCTCTCAAAAGGTGTGACAAATTCGGAGCACAGTGACCAAATTGCAGTAAATGCAAATCATTTCTCCACATTACATTTTGTCCTGTCTCTTGATGCTCCTTGGTTTCTTCACAGCACTGTGCCTCAAAGTACTCTGAGCTCCTGGAATCAACAGAGGCCCCAAAGTTAGTGCATAACTTACTTTTCCCTCTAGCATGCTTTTGTAGACCTGCAAGCTAGGATTACTGACATAGCTTTATACTGTTTGACCAATGCATTGACAGAAAATAATGTCTTTGACTAATACTGCATTTGTTACCTTCAGGCGTAAGCGTGGTGAGAGAGGTGAAGTGGTGGAGACAGTGGAGGACGTGATAGTACGCAGACTGACAGCTGACAGGATTGATGCACTTAAAAAGTTGATAAAGGAAACACAGGAGAAGCACAGGTACAAAATCCTTAAAGAGCATAAACACATCGTCGTGAAAGAGAGTTGCTGGATCATAATTGGCGTCAATGAGATTGGTTAAAGTGGTGCTATTTTCACAGGAAGCTGAAGAGAGAGGCTGAACTGATTAAAGCAGGACGCCTAGATTCCAAACTACAAGAGTTATGGGAAGAAATTCTGCAGTAAGAAGCAACACACTTTCTTATTGTCCTGTATTCACTGAAACAGCACATCTGTTTTGAAATTACACTAACAAGCAAAATCAATTATCTTTTGTGCATCTGTCAGGAAGCAGAAACTGGAGGAAGAGGAAGCAGATTTGAAAAGAAAAAACACAAATGCTGCTTATCAAGGTATTTCATTCACTTTTAGGGGTACATAATGTGTTTGTTATTAACTTGGTAAACTCATAACATGCTAACGTTAGCATGTTAGTGTGACAAAATGCATTGTGCATGTAGTATGTAAGCATCATAACTCACAGTATAGGTCTCACAGTAGGCAGATGGGAATTTGGGAGCATTAGTATTTTTTATCAAGTGAAACATTTGAGGTGCTAGAGAGTCTCCAAAGTCAGGGTCCAAACACTTTTAAAAACAGATATCTGTACCAAATTGCATATCAGTCTGACCAATAGTCAAGTTGTGGACTAACAACTTTAGATCAGTTGGATAGTCTTAAAAAAAAGCATTTGAACATCAGTTTTTCTATTGACTGATAAGATCTGCCCCTCCCTCTTCCAGACAGACAGGTGGCAAAGAACACACCAAAGCGATTGCCCGGCGTCACCATGCACCCGCCCTCAGGTTGCAGCTCCCCGAGCCAGGAGTTCTCCCCAGGTGACGCGTTTGAGTGCCCCACCCTAGATCCTGGATCAACAAAAAATGTAAGTCACTAAAGGTTCAAACATTTCAGGTCTTTCCTACTTTTTAATAATCATAATCCTGCAGGGAACGTAAAAACGCTGGTGTTTGTATCTTTACATTCAGAATCAGAATCAGAAACAGGTTTATTACCAGGTAGGTTGACACGTACGAGGAATTTGACTTGATGTCATGGTGCATACATGAAAGTAAAACAAAAATGTAAAACCCAGATAGAGAACTAGAAAAAATATAAATAATAATAAAAAATATAGTAAAATATAACAGTATTTACATAGAAATGGAATGGAATAAAATATAATATATTCAAGCTGGGTTGCGCCTACCTACATGTTTAGATTTGCTGAATTATTTAATCTGTTTTTGTTATTTTAAAAGCCAGTAACCTTGTGCTATGGACATAATTAAAATACAACTATATTTCGGAAAGCTTCCTTCCATCAAAGACACATTATCAGAGTTGAACAATTAAAGCATTCCTCAATTGGTATGTAAATGTGACATCTTAGTTTCCCTCTCTCTAGGCTTCAGGATCTTCCAGATTAATGACAATTGCTGAGACTTGTGGACCCGATAATGAGGACATCAGCCATGGGTCATTTCTGGACGACCCCACCCAAAAGAAGGCCCTGGTCCAGAAAACTACACCCCCACCATCTCCACTCCTGTCCGAGTTACTGAAGAAAGGCAGTATCTTGGCCACAAATTCCAGACTGGTATGTGGATGGGACTTACTAAACCAGTATTAAACCAACATTGCCAAGCTTTGTAATTAATGGTCTTTTTTTTTTTTTTTTTTTTTTTTTACGGCTCCCATCTTCATCTCATTTTTCAAAGGATTGTTTGCATTCAGCAAGTATTAATGAATACATTTTTGCCATTATGTGTTCTGGTTTTGGTTGCTGTGGTGTTTTTTTGCCGATTGTATAAAGATTTTAGTCATTTTTGCATATGTTTTGCATTGTAATGGGTTGGATTTTATGACACCTTCTTAATCTGGGGAAATCTATTGTCCTTTTCTTTTACTTCCGAGTTTCATTGGTTGCATTTCTTACAACCGTCTTCATTTAACTGCTCTCCTTTTGAATGGCGTTCAGATGTTGTCTTGATGGAAATAAAATGTATTATTTGACAGATAAAACATCACTACTTTTTTTTGCATCTGATTTAATCATTGTTTGTGTGAAGTTTAATAGTACAAGTACTTTTTTTTGTTTTGTCAAGCCTTTTGTCGTATCAGAGGTAGGGCATTTTTTAAAATGTCCATTTGTATGAAGCCTACTCTCTTATTTCCTCTCTTGAAATCCCGACATGTCAGAAGAAGTTTATATTTGACTAGATCTTTACCTTGAAACATTCCTTTTGTACCTATAGTCAAATTATAGAAATATCACAAAGGCATTTAGCTTTATATCTGTGTATAAATATATGATCTACTGTATATAAAACCTACTTTAACATACATTATTCTGTGTGAGTTTGTTTTTTAATTGCAGGCAGTAACATAAATAATAAAAACTAGCAAAATGTTTGACATGCATGTCTGCGTTTATATCCCAGATTGGGGATGGTGATGCTGGAAATCTGACGGGAACACACGACTTGCAGCAGCCTCCGGCTAGTCAACCTATCTCTCAAGCTACAGGTACAGAGGCTATGTTTATTTGTGATTTTATTAACACTGATAAAGAGGAACTCCAGGGCAAAGTGAAACAAACATCTTACAAAGTGACTGAAATAAGTCAATTACAATCAAGACAATATTAAGTAGAACCAAAAACCCTTGTGTATTTACTTTTACTCCTTGAATTTTTAACATACGTTAGCTTTATATTAACCCTTATGTTGTGTTCGGGTATCCCGTGACCCGTTTCAAGTTAAAATTATATAATAACTACGCTCTAGTTTTTTTTAAGGCTTCATGATATCCTCCACAACAGCTATATAAACACTACAAAACTGATTTTGACAATTTTAGCCAAGTCTGAGTATAATTTGGTATATCATTTGACCCAGCAGAATTGTTGTGGGTCACTCGGGGTCAAATTTGGCCCAATCAAGATTCATCATTGACTTTAGATACCCCTCCCCCATCCACTGTAACAATAATTTTACGCAACATGCACCTGGTCTCCCTTCCCCCCACGGGAACTCAACCTTTCTCAAAGAGTATGTACAGTAACACGTGCAATATGTGGTGTAATGTGTTTTGGGGCCTTACAATACAATTACAACAGGATTGTACGGTTATGAATGCATAATAAGTTAGTTATGATGTAGTTAAAACAATATTGGATGATAGTCATTTTTTTTGTGTGTTTTGGACTGAGATAAATCATGGGTAAAAATTGACCCGCGAACACCATGAACGGTAACAGCTTTTGAACACAACACAAGGGTTAAGAAGTCCTCCTATTGTCTTACATCCCGGGCTATACTGCCTACTTTAGGTGTTAAACATCCTTCTTTTTATTTATTTGGGCTTCCATGTTAACACACCACACATTAGCTTTTTTACTACAAGCCTCTATTTACTTGTCTTTCATCCTTTCTTTATAACTAATGCTGTTGATGCATTGTGATTTTAAGGGTGTCTATTATCATTTGGACAACAGCTGGAAATGAGCTATGTTGGCTAAAGCTGCACCATTTACTGTTTTTTTGTGACAGTTGATTAATGGGGACTGTCCACGACACTATAAACAAATAAACTAAACATACTGACATCATACCAGCAATTTTATTAATGTAATTGCACAAAAGCTTCTTTACTTTTTTCCGGCAATTAAAACACAAATGCAATAAAATGAGACATTCTATTAGTGGTGTACATTCTCAAACTCAATGTAAAAGGATAGGATTTGCATAGTATTGCCACTGCAGCTGCTATGTTTGTGTACACATCACATTGAGAGCCACACACAGGTACAGGTAGGCAGCGTAGCCCGGTCCAAGCTGTTTGCTCATACATTTTGCTCAAAGCCTCCGCTCCTTTCTCTGTGAATGCTTGCATGGCAGGTGCCCCGATGTTGTCTCGTCTTCTGGAGGCTGGTCCCGCCCAGTTCTCCGCTCCGTTAGGTTTCATGGTCAGTGCAGACTCCACCGCTCCTCTTTCTGCTGCCTCTTCTGTGCCTGTTGACTCTCCTGCCTCAGCAAGTACAGGTCTGTCCACTCTGACCCCACCCACTCAACCTTTATCCCATCCACCAAACCTCCAGTCTTCCTTCATTTCACCTGTTTTGTAGCCGGGAGATTACATTTCAGAACTTTATTTAACCCTTAGATGCACGAGTGACTGGACCCTACACTTTTCCACAAGTGGGTCAAAAAGGACTCGTATTAGAATAATATGTGTTTTTATGCCACTTTTGTCATTTTGGTTAAGAAAAATCACTTGTATGATATTTAGTATTATATTTTGGTTCACACTAGAAATATTTTATATTGAATTTTTCACTATTTATAATTTTAGAAATCTTTTTTACATTTTGAAAAAAAACGTTTTGAACATATTGATGCAAAGATCTCTATTCTGAGACCCTCACAGTTTTCCAGTCCCTTTTCAAAACTCATCTCTTCTCTTGTCTACTCATAGCCCACCCCCCATCAATCCATGCCGGTTGATCAAGTTTGATAGTCCTATACCCCCCACCCTAACCTTCCCTTATATTGTAAAGCGATTTTGAGTCCTTGAAAAGCCCTATAAAAATATAATGTATTATTATTATTATTATTATTATTATTATTATTATTATTATTATTATTATTATTATTATTATTATTATACTGACAGGTATCAGATCTTGCTGTGTAAAATAATCTTCCTGAGAGGTGTCACTTGTGATGTAGTCTGTGTGTCCTACAGTGAATGTATTCCTGACCGTAACCCGAACCCCATTTTTGACCCACTTATGGAAGCTTGGGGTCGTAATACAAAAACTACAATTTCTTAAAATGTAAATTTAAAATGTGAATGGCATGATATCCAAAACATGTTTTTTGAGGAATAGCTGGAATATGAAATGATAAAAAAATGTAATTACAAAGATACTTCAAGAAAACCACCTCACCGGGTCAAAAAAGACCCACTTTGAGTGTTATAGCTAAAGTAGACTGAAATATGAATGTATCTTGCGACGTTAAAGCATTCAAACTTTTCAACATTTCAGAAATACTTTTTTTTATACACACAGGAGGGATGTCAAAAAGTAAACCACTCTATATTTTGTGAATATCTCAAAATATGTAAATAAAGAGTTCAGATTAATTGTGGTTAAAATTTAAATACAAGCAAATGATAAAGCTTGACTTAGGCGTGCTGTGATGAATGCTTTTATGAACTGCTACTCTTGCTACTTAAAAAGTGTATCTTGGCAAACAGAAAAGTTGAAACCAGTTGTTGTTTGCATGCAGAAGTTGGTGTGATGGCTCCGTCTTTGCTGCCTGGACGCCAGTCTGTCTCTGCAGAGGACAAAGTGTCAGAGCTCAGTGAGGAGGACGTATCTGTGTCCTACATGGGGGATGAGCTTGACCTGAAGACGGTGGGGGACATAATCGCCATAATTGAGGACAAGGTGAAGAGTACCATATATTTTCAAAGCATTTCTAAAAACCTAAGATAAACGTTCTTTTAAAGAGGCCTTATTATGCTGTTTTGTGTTCTCCCTTTCCTGTAGTGTTATATCGGTTTTGGTGCATGTAAAGGGTCTGCAAAGGCTAAAATCCCAAAGTTCCCTCCAGAGAGAGTTTCTCTCCCACACTCCCCCCCCCTTCCTGAAGGATCACTATGTAACACTCACGCTATGGCTAGCGCTCCAACACATTGTACATTATAGGCTAAGGGGCGGGACATCTCTAACGGAGCATCCACACAGCAGCGTTAAAAAAATCTTCTAGCGCTTCTGCCCATTCACTTTGAATGGGGTGACGTCACTTTGCCTCACTTTTCGCCGAACTGCATTGTGGGAAGCAGAGCGGAGATTTTCAGGATTTTCAGGATTCAAAGTTGAGCAATGTTCAACTTTTGAAGCTGAGGTGGAAGCGTCAGCCAATCAAATCCCGTTTATGCAAATCTGACAGTTCAAGCGCTAGCCAATCAAACCGCGTGTATGCTGGGAGAGACATACCACAGTTCATTTCCTCATATTCCAAAACATGGAGGAGAAATTAGCGGTAGGGAATCACCCGGTGCTTTATGGCCAGTCCCTATTTACCTACCGGGATACAAACCGGAGGAGCCAGGCATGGAGGGAGGTGGCAGAGACAGTGGTAGGTTTTCGCCTGTTTGGGGAGTTTATATCCAGTTTACTTCGGGCTTTTTTGCTTTGTATGTCGGGGGCGGGAGATTCATGTGATTGGTTGTTGGTCGCGTTGCTAGCAAAAAATCCCCAAGCTTCAGATACGTCCACCTCCAAGATTTTTTTAACACTGCTGTGTGGACGCTCCGTAAGTGGTTGACCAATCACAACAGAGTTGGCCAGCTAAACAATCAGAGCAGACTGGGCTCTGGTTTCAGACAGAGGGTGAACATCGGTGCTGCAGCACAGGCAGTATGAGAACAATACAGAGCTTTTTGAACATTAAAGCTTGTAAACATGTCACAGTAGAGGCTAAATACAAATATGGACCTGAAAATGAGCATAATACGTCCTCTTTAAAATGTGATAAATGGAATTTCGGTCATCTATTGAGTTATGACAGTTTACACGGAACCATGACTGCTGTGATTTACAAGGCAGGAAATAGCACCTGAAAAGAAACCTAAATTATTCTTTACGATCTAGAGTCATATCTCTCCTTCTACAGGCAGAGGAGGCTGCAGAGGCTTTGGATGCAGCTGCAGTCGAGGCTGCGCTGTCACTGTGTGAGGAGAACGGCCATGCTTTGTCTGGTAGCTGGGAAGCTGGGCCTCTCCAGCCCCATGATTCCCAGCCCGCAGTGCCCACATGGGTCCCACAGCCCTCGTCTCTTCACAGTAGCCTGGAGGGAAAGACAGAAGCGTTAGAAGCCCAGTGTGGGACTTCAGCTTCACTCTCCTCTCTGTGCAACAGTCACGATAACTGTCTCCCAGCATTCCCCATGGGACGAAGGGGCCCTCCTCCCACCTCCTCCTCCTCCTCACACAGCTCAAATAGTTGCTACACAGGGGCACCTCCACAGCCTGAGGCAATGAGAGAGACTGGAGAGTTGGTGCACCAGAAAAGACATATTTCATTGGATGTTACTTTAAAATGTGAGAGTGAGAAGCACAGACCTGAAAAACCCAATGGAGGTATGCACACCCAAGCATAACTACTAGTATTCACTTGCATCATAACATACAGTTTGCATGCAACTATGTATTTGGCATAACCATTTCCTTCTTATTATTCATCTTTACTATCTCGGCAGACTCAGTATTAGAAGATAGACCTCTGACAGAAAGGCATCGCAAGGTATAGCACCCAACGAGGACAGAGCAAAAACATGATGCTTGTAATGAAATGCAGAGTGCGTAGTTCCAAAGTATTCCTGCACTGCAAGCTCTGTTTGAATCCCTCTGCATCTTTCCCCGCCTTTGCAGGAGATGAAAGCGGAGGATGGAATAAGTGTTCTGGGAGGAGAGAGTGCCTCAGAGACTAAACTGTACAATGAGCTTGATGAGCCAGAAGCAGGTGGAGGAGAAGAGAGCGATGGCGTGGAGGGATTCTTCTCAGAGCCAGACGGCGAGATGGAGCTGGAACCTGCGGCCAGCGAGAGTGAGGACGGATACAGCCAGCACACGGCCTCCTCCTCTCTGCAGCTCCACACCACGGCAGACTCCATCCCCAGCAGCCCTGCCTCCTCGCTGTTGTGAGTGAAACACATGCAGGCACGACTAGCACCAACAAAACTGGCAACATGAATTTCTCATTGTGTCATGCTGCAGATCAGGCTCTGCTTGTCAAAACTTTCCTCATAAAGTTACAACTCCCTTCTTGCATACCATTGTTGTGCAGTTCTCTGTGCAGTGACGACCTGGAGGCTCTGCAGGCGCACAAGATCTGGAAGAAAGCCATTATGCTGGTGTGGCGTGCAGCAGCCAATCACAGGTCTGAATATTAATGTCTACCGTAGTGACTGTTGCTCAGCCTCTGATAAATTGAATTTGTTATATCATTACTGAACAGACGTTATTTATGTGAACCTGTTGCAGGTATGCAAATGTCTTCCTGCAGCCAGTGTCAGATGAAATTGCACCTGGGTACCACAGTATAGTGCAGAGGTAAGCTCAGGATGTGTTTCCCCGGTCATGTTAATGCATGTTTCCCTTTTTTTTGTTGTGGTTCCTTGTCATTACTTTAAATACACACATCACAAAAATATAAACTTTAAAGGTCTCCTATTATACTATTTTTAGGCATGTATTATAGGTCTCAGATATATAAAAAACATGTCTATGAAGTGTTTTGCTCGACCAAGCAGATCACCAGACCATTCTAGCCATGCCTCATACCCTCTATTTCAGCCCTGTTAGAGAAGTGCTGATTCTGGTTCTGTAGCTTTAAAAAAAAAAGAGAGGAGAGGAGAGCTCATGCAGGAGAATTATACTCAGATACTTAGCTGAATGCTGCCGTGATTAAACGCCATATTATGTTTCAAACCACATCAAGGATTATTTCTGAAACAGTATGGAGCTCAAATGCTTTTTATCTCGCGGGTTTACCACAAGGTACCTTTTTATATCCTGCTTTTTTTACACATATACTCTCTCCAGTACAGTGTTAGCTCTGAGTGTTAGCGATGCTTGCTAATGTAAGCAAAGACCATATTACGTCCAAAACACATCGCGCATTGTTTCTGATAGCGACGTTTCTGATAGGGCCATGGACGTAAAGCCAGCCCACATTTCAGATATAACGTCATATCGGACGCAAATCTGGATCCGTTCCGTTGTACCCCCGTTTTTAGAGATGTGGGTATGGAGGAAAAGAGAGAGGGTTTTATTTTCTGACACTTTGTGAGTCTCCTGACACACCGGGGACACATTTATGTATAAAAGACATCAAAAAGTGCATTTTGCATAATAGGGGACCTTAAAGACGCTAAGAACGCTAACAAGCTTGTTTTTGCTGGTGTACACTGTACTTTTGACATGTATCATACCCCCTCTTTGTTCTTCACTTCAGGCCCATGGACCTTGCCGCCATTAAAAAGAGCATAGAGACCGGTGTGATCCGCACCACCGCTGAGTTCCAGAGGGACATCATGCTGATGTTTCAGAACGCCGTCATGTACAACAGTCTGGACCATGACGTGTACCACATGGCTCTGGAGATGCAGCGCGACGTCCTGGAGCAGATCCAGCAGTATTTGGCCACCCAGCTGATCATGGAGACGTCGGAGTCCGGCATCAGCGCCAAGAGCCTGAGGGGCCGTGAGAGCACGCGCAAACAGGACTCCACTGACAAGGTGCTTCACTAGAATATTGACAAAAGCAGAGTACTGAAGAAGAGACAAGGGTGAGACACCAGGCTGACTTTAAGGTAGAAGACCCTAAAGTAGATCTGCCTGATATTTTCCAAAGCATGACATTAGTTTTTTTTGTATTTCCAGGCAGCCATTGCTACCAAAATCAAGTTACTTGAATAATCCAAATAGTGGGTAATCCATCACAGTGAAAATATTTGTAATGCAACAATTCACCAATGTCACAATTTGTTTATCCTTCAAGATGCAAGATTCAAGGCTTTTTTTGTCATTTGTACATAGCTACAGTGTAGATATGTCAATGACAAACGTAGGTCACAGGCTCCTCCAACAGTGCAACACAATAAAACAGATACAATAGTGCAAGTAAATACAAATAAAATAGAATAGAAATAGTGCAAGGAGAGTTTATATAAAGTAATTGGAATATGATATATTAGATAATCATCATCTTATGTCCTACAATTCTTGGGTCTTCAACGGCTTTAATCTTCTATGGAGGATTATCTTTGATCGTATTTATAAAAAGACAATACGTTTTTCACTGTGGTGATTACTTCATGTAGGTTCAAACCAATGGTTGACTGAAAAGCAATACATTTATTTTAAATCAGAACATGTATGCTCTGGAAAATGGTAGGAAATAATGCAATACTGTTTAGAACATTACTGACAACTATTAACCAAAGTGTACAGTAAGTTTTAACGTTAATATTCTACTTTCTTCCAGAAACCAGTTTTCTTTCCATGTTTTTCAAAACAAAACACTGGTGGATTATTGGCCTGATGAATCAAATGATCATTTGGTCACCTTTTTATTTCATACATTTTGCATGATAATGTATGAGTGAAGTAATATTGATGTTACAGATTTGTACTACCACTTTATAACAAAACCAACGGACTTATTTTTTTACACAATCTATAAATCACCCTAATGAAGGCCCCCGTAGAGTGTGTATTGCTGAAACATGGTGAAATAAATATTTTGTGAGTAGTTCTTAATATTTTGATGACAAATGACTCTATCCGAAGCTAACTTGAAGTGTTCGGGGTTTTATAGCGAGCTGATAGAACTGAAACCAAGAGTTGAAGGGAAGGTGCAAGGTTAAGTGTCCTGATGTGCTTTTGGAGATGGTTGACAGTAACGGGGGGGGGGGGTTACGTATTGTAACCCTAGTTATATAAGCACAGGCGGAGCCCTCTACCTGGGGGCCCTGTCTTTCCTATGCCGCTCGCTGAAGAGGCTGTAGGATGACGGTCGGGAGGCGTAGCCGCCTTATATACTGTGGGCCTGCGCGCGCATTCAGGTAGGCTCGCCCCGATTGGCCGGCTACGTTTATGCAACTCAGTAGGTGAATGCACACATAGCACGATAGAGAGTAGTACCCATAGAGTCCAGTAGAGGGCGGAGCCTGTGTGATGTATAACGTATGTCTATAGTACGCATTGTATGCAGTTAATGAGCTGAACATGATGGCATGTTCCTTACATAAATCTGAAGTGTAGTGTGATAGCAGTGCAGCTACACATTTGTTACAAAAGTAGTTGCCTTCCATTTTATTTCAACCTTTCCTCCTGCCTTATATACTCTGTTGTTTCTTTCTTGGCCTTAATTTGCTTTCTCTTTCGACCTGCAGTGCACTTTTGTGTCGCAGCTCTGATATAAATCATTTTCCTCCTGCAGGACACTGTCTCCATGTCCTCTCCTGCCTTTCTTCTTTCTCTTTTTGTAAGTACCCATCCTAATGCCTTTAAGACTTTCCCTTTTCTTTCTGGTCTTTTTTTCCCCCTGACACAGACAGTAGAGCTGCCAAACCAAAGGAAAACTCATTCAAGATCAATTAATATGATGATTGGCTCATTCATGATTGGCTTTAACATCTTGAATGGGTAATGTGATCAGTACATTAAGCCTAGACAATATGGTGTATATTAAATATCACAATATCTTTTAAACTAATACATTAATATTAATTTTGTGATGATATTGTAGGGTTGACTCTTAGACTTTCATGAAATATTTACAAAAGAATCATGTTAAATTGTTGTCTAGATATAATGACTTAGTGGGTAAAGACAAATAATAATACAAAGTGTATTGAATCCTTTAAAAACGGGAAAAGAAAACTATTTTTCCATATAACGATATCCAAAACTAAGGGGGAAAAAAAATCACAAAAGTCGTTATAATATTGATTTATTGCCCAGCCCTATGTGAAATGAGTATAATATATTGAATGTATACTCATAGGCTTTGTCTTCCTCTCTTGAACTGCAGGACGGAGGCACCAGAGGGCGCCGTTGTGCCATAGAAGCTGACCTCAAGATGAAGAAATGAAAACACCTTCGGAACGTTTTATCCAACTGTGTTTCCGAGTTAAAGTGACAGCGACTGAACTTATTCTGTCAGTTACACGGATTCTCACTCAGCATAAAATGCAGTTTCAACTTTATTTGCACTCTAAACTGTATGAGTAGACTGAATTTCGGAGGGGCCCATTTCCACTGAGTCAGCAATACAGATATGGATTACAAACTGTATAATCCCAGATTACAATGGGGCAAGAGAATAGGTCAAACCTTTCATACACCTACCTGCAGATCACTTAGATTTAGACTGCTCAGGTTGTATTAACAGATAAATGTCACTCATAGCCTGCAAATTGGCTGAAATTAAGCCTTCATGAGGCCGAGATGCACTTCAGATTATTGTGGTTGATCTTGATCATGTTGATACTAATATGTGAAACCAGAGGCCAAAGAGTCTGAGTTACCTAGAAGTCCCGAATAATCAGGGAGGTGTAGGGGGCACATCATCATTTTAAACATTTTAATTGCAGGAATTAAATCATTTGAGGATTTGTTATTTTAAGTGTTATTTAAAAAGAATGCACAGATCATTTGTGGCTGTATTTTTTGTGAAACGATACCAATTCATATTCAGTATTTTTGAGTATCACATTAAACTGTTTTGTGGATTTTAAGATGTATAATCAATAAAAGCGTCGTAAAGCCCTCAACCCACTATGTTAAACTTGAATTTGCACACATGTTTCCCAAAGACTCAAACTACACCACAGCAGTCACCTTGAATCTAATCAAAAGTCTTCATGCAAGGGTGGTCAGCGACAATCAGTGACATTGGAATATTGATTGAGATTTCCTATTATAATTTTTTTTATTGCAATCATTTAATATCCTTATTAATTTTTAATACAAAAGTGCTTTGCCTCATTCAGGATATGGATGATGTTCTGTGTGTCAGTAGAAAGCATGCAGATATTCTCAGGAAAGCCAAGTGGCTCGAAACTGTTAAGATGAATGCAAGCACTACAAGATAAATACGTTAAAAAGTGTTGTGTTTCCTAAAATATCTGCATCTGATGTAACGTCCACACACAAATGGGACCCACTTTTTTCCCACAAAGCTCCCACTCTGGTGAAACACCAATAAGGAAGGGCTTTGCATCTGACGTTTAGTTAGTCATGTTTGGTGTTATGTAAAAGGGCCTGATTATTAAAACATATTCAGATCTATCATTGAAGCCGACTCATGTTCAGGATGGCACAGTGTTGCTGTTTGTCTCATAGTTTAAATGTGGAACGTGTATTCATGATTTCAATATGACCATAAACTAAGGTTTTTCCATTTCCTTTAAAGAGGCCCTACAGGGTATATGCAGGAATCCTGAAGTCAAATGTAATACCTTTTAGACCTTTTTTTAAGACCCTTTCCATACATTGTAAGACCTCATCGCCACTTGGAGTTTTAACCGGTTACATTGGCGACACACTTTACCTCACATTTACTATACAGTATTGATTGTCCTTCCTCCTTATCTTCCAACCATTTGGACGCAAACTTGCATTTCCCCATAACGATGTTGTTTAACAACCGGCGTAAACGGACCTTCGCGCGCTATCAAGCAGTGAGCGCGCGATGTCCTGTTCAGATGACGTCAAATCCAACGGGATGCCATAAATAAACTACAAAGAATCACACTACATACCTACGCAATGATTACATTCAGGAAGACTGTAGAATACAACCTCTTTGGACAATTTATATACTTATTGAAAACAAGCTACACAATGTAATACCTTGGAAAATGCCGTTATGCAAAAATGCTTTTTAATAGCCTTAATTTTCGCTAAATTGATTTAGCAACTTTTAATACTTTTTAAGACCCCGCGGACACCCTGCCCTATGATGCTTTTGGGGTTTTCCCTTCCCTGTAGAGTGTTATGGTTTTTGTGCATGTATATGGTCTGCAAAGGCTAAACAGTTTATCTCCCAACGTATTGACATCACTCCGTAACACTCACGCTTCTATTGGCTAACTCTCCAACACATTGATAGGCTAAGGGGCGGGACATGAATCACAACAGAGCCAGCCAGCTAACCAATCAGAGCAGACTGGGCTCTGGTTTCAGACAGAGGGTGAAAAGAGGTGCTGCAGCACAGGCAGTATGAGAAACATAAAGAGCTTTTTGAACATTAAAGCATGGAGACATGTCACAGTAGAGACAAATATGAACCTGATTAGCATAATAGGGTTCCATTAAACCCAGGTGTATTTGGCCTTGGCCATGGTTAAGTTATATTAGTTGTACATGCAGTAAGTAAAGGAAGTTCGAGGGGAACTATTTGTAATGAATATACAGAAACGTTTTATTTTGGACTTGCTTTATACCTGTAGGTGTGATTCCAGATGCAGTAGTTCATAGGTTTAGTTCAGGTTTTTATATATTATGTGTATAAATAACCGGATTATTTCATGTTGACCCTCACTGCCTGATCACCTTGAAACAAATCACTCTGATTCTTATAAGATCATTTACAGTCTTGGCTGATATTAAACAATAATCACTAAGTATCGAAATCCATCAATATGTTGTACATACAGATATGTGTCACAAGCAGAGTAAATAAATACAAATGAACAAATCAGACAGGTCAAAATATATTCTGATTACATCTTTAATTGTCAGGTATATTTGTCCTAAAACTGATTTATTTAGTGTTCCTCCTAATAGACCTGACCTCCGCGTGTCAGGGCAAAGGTTTTACATGTTTGTGAGTTACTGTGTGGACCTGAATATTCTAACAAATTATCATTTAGTGTGTCAGCTGTCATTAAGATGTGTTCACAATAAAAATAAATATGCAACTAATAAAAGACTCACAAGGGTTTCATGCAACAGCAACAATAGGGAACACAGGATCAAATATGAACTTAAAAGTGCTTGAAATAAACCTGAATATTTTGTAAAGTAACAGCTAAGGCAGTTTGGCCGGTGAACAGAAACAAGTGTTAATGTCTGTATAGGGTTTGAATCATATGTAATTGGGATAATAAAGAATTTAAGAAACAACTCCTAAAAGTTAGCATCCTACTTATGACAAGATCTGACAAATTCTGATTCCTAGCTGTGGAAGAAAGCCGATTAATGTCCACAGATAATTAGTAGAATTTCAAAACATGATTTCAACGGTTCTTAGATTTAAGATTACATTTTTTTTTAAACAAAACGATTCTTCTTTATAAAACATCTGTATAAATTAAAAGGTGCAGAATTTATAAAATATTTATAAAATATGGGCCGGATGTTTGTCTGAGAACAGAAGTATTTACGCTTGTGCACGGTTTTAGGAAATGGAGGTATTGCATGACATTTAAGCCCAGCTTATCTACAGATATTGAGCTTCCTGTATCCAATCAAATCAAAATGTATTCTTCAAAACATGGCCCTCTTTTTTCATAACAGTCACCCTTTAACCTCACCTGAAATACTGAAACTTCCTGAATACCTGAAGCTTAATGACCAATGCAAGCAGAACTGCAGGGAGCAGGAAGCTATTTATTTTGGCAAGGACATCTTTTTAAGATAACACAATCAGATAAATGTGCTAGTGATAAATGTTTGACTCTACTGTGCCTATTGATTTAGTTCAAATCGCCTAGATAAGACTCACAAGTCCTTTCCTTTACAGTAAAGAAGCTCTCAGATTTGTCCAAAGACTACAGTATTATTTAAGTTGTTGAACTTCCTATAGAAAACAGATTAGCCAAGATGCTCAAGTAACATTCACTCTATTAACTAATAAATAAATACTTCTAAAGGACAGGACACAAAAACATTCAACAAAATAAATACAAGTAAACCTAAACAAATAAAACATGTACGTGTGAACATACTACTGCCTTCATAACCCCAAAAGGAGACTCCCATATGTGCGTCATGCCATTTCTATAAGAAAGTTTAAAGGCTCCGAGACATCATCACACTGCCGCAGTGAGTTTGCACCTGATGCAACTCTTATTTTCTACCATCAAAGAGGAGAGAAGGCACATTGTTTCCAGTGGCATAATCTCCCACCGACTGCGCTGTACCTAAAAGAGGTTTCTTTACAAAGTGGCCAGATTAAAATCACACATTTGGATAAAATGTGTTATTGTAAAGTCTGCAAAGAAACACGTTCTCCTCTCAAACAGTCCTCAATTGGCTCTCTGATGCCCGACCAATCGATGGAGTTTGTCACAGTTGTCCAGCCTCATCGACTCCGCCTTCTGCTTTAACCGCTCGTCTCGGTACAGCTGCCCGAGGTTCGCCAGGTCGGATTCTGAGAAGGAGAACGGGATCGCAAAAGAAAGATGTATGACTAGCATTTATAATAACTTTCTTTCTGGCAGAGAGTTAGATGAAAAGATCAAAACTATTCTCATGTCAGTATGTTAAATATAATTCAATCAGCAGCCAGTTAGCGTAGCTTAGCATAAATCAATTAATCAAAACTCACCTTTTCACTCTTGCCTTCAACTCCTAATCCACTAACCCCTTGTCCTTATTCCACCTAGCTTTTTACTTTTGTTGTTATTTTCTTTCTTTACTTGCTTGTAAAGTGCTTTGAGAACCAGGAAAAGCGCTATATAAATCACATGTAGTATTATTATTATTATAAAGTCTTGGAAAGGGCCTGGCTCTGTCCAGATGTTAGAAAGTCACATCCTATGAATCAAAGTGATGCAGCGCTAACAACAACCACTTCTTGTTAGTCAGTGTCCTTTTCATTTCATAACTATAACGTTTAAAGATATATAGTTAAAGGTGGGGTAGGTAAGTTTGAGAAACCGGCTCGAGATACACTTTCTGTTATATTCCATGGAATGCTCTTAACATCCCGATAGCAATGAATATCTGAAGTGCTTTGACAAAAAATCCATAAAAAAAAATATCATCTGAGGAAGCCGTAGTACTGTAAAAAGCACGACCAATCATTTTAGCCGGCCCGGCTAAAATAACTGGATGGCCTACCTGCCTGTCAGCCTTCCATCTGTGCACAAACTTATCTCGTGCCCTCATTGGTCATGTGCGCGTTCGTGTGTGTTGGAGGAGGGGCTCTGTAAGGAAGTGGCAGATTTTTTCCGGTTGTGTATTTTCAAATTTTAGCGCACTCGAGCTGGTTTCTCCAAAATTACCTACCCCACCTTTAACACGGTACCATCTATATACAAATTAAATTATGCTTTTTGAATGTTCAGTGTTGCTTCCCTGCCGCGTTTGGGTAACCAAATCTACCTAAGACAGACATCTAACAACTGATTGGGCTAGCATTTATTGCTCGTTTTGGTTCAACTTAAGCTGTAATTTTCTTTAGTATGCTGCCCAAAAGTTGGTATAAATGTGGTTATTAATGAGGTATGAAATATGCATTTTAAGTTAATGAAATGCAGTCATGCACAGTTAAGAGTGTACGTACAGTACAGGGGTTTTCCACTCAACGTTAGTGGGAAAAAAATTGTGTGGTTCAGTCTGTAACTTGTTTGTTTTAGAACAGTACAATAAATGAAGTATAATTCGCTTTTCTTGGGGGGGGGTCTATGTGCTTGACTATTTCTTAGGTAGGACCAGTTGCTGGGCAACCAGCGAGACTGCAGGAGCTTCTGGCTGCGGCTCTTAAAGCGAATAAGCATATTTCCCAAGTGTTGCACACACTTCCTTTAACAGTGACCAACTTTAAGATATATGCAAGTGCTTACAATAGCAGGAGACAATATAAAAACACTTGATATTAAATCTACTTTAATCAAAGTCATGATGAGTAGCTCGCTTACTCTGCTGTTTCTCTTTCCAGCAGCTGTTCTGCAGGTGCTCGATATAGTCGTTCTCGATAGTTTTCTCTATTTCATCCAGCGCCGCTCCTCTGTACTCTTTCTCAAAACTTTTGTCCACGTAGTACGGCACGCCCATGTGCTGCGTTTCCCTGGAGACCACCAGCCCGATGGCCCTGAAACCAAAACACAGGATTAAAATGTGTCCAGTAAAAACTATGGTGTGAACCGTGGAGTATCCCAGGGATCTGGTGAAGTGTCACTGTAGTAAGGTCAATGCTGTGGCACACTCACGGCTTATAGAAGAGACTGTAGGACGGGTTAGTGGCCATCATCTGAGTAAACACTGATATGAGGATTAGCACCAGCACAGGGAGGAGCTGCAGCAGCGCTGTGAAGGTGTTCTGTGGGAAGATAAAATCAGCAGAGATTACAAAGCATATAAGGCCCCGGCTCCACGAGGACGAAAACGGGTTGAATCCGCATATTTCTCATGCGTATAGCCCTCTAAGCTCGACGACGCCGTAAGGGAAACGTAGAAACAGACCCCGCAAACGACAACGGGTCCAAAGGTGGATAGATCTGGGAACGGAGCGCTCTGGGGGGGTCCAACGGGGCCGTGGAGTCGCCTATACGGTCATTCGTTTTCATAGCCCCGCCTCTCCCTGCCTCTCCCCCGCAGGGTTGCTATCGTGCTTCAGTCGCTACTGACCATGCTACAGTTCTTTGTGCAACATCTACAGGAGCTCCTCCTTGAATTCAGATTATTTATCTTTATCTCGATATGGACATAAACGCGAGTGAAGTCTAATCTGACAGGACGGAGACGCAGCTCCTGCCGCTGTGATGCAGCGGGAGCAAAACACACACTTCAAGTCAGATCATTACCCTTAGCTATTTTAATTACCTCTCAAACTACCTAAACTAGTTATAAATATGTTCATTTTTACTGTCGGGTCACTCATTACAGGATCAGCTGCTGCATGAGACAGACACTGACGCTGTCAGAAGAGAGGAAAAGAGACAGGCTCCGTGTATGATTATATATCATTATATCGTCGTTATTCATTTGTTTTAAAGCTCAATAAATAACAATGAAGACCTTTGACCGGCACTTTTATAATTTTGTCCGGAAGATTTAAACTTTAACACACGCTGACCGGCGAAAAACTCTGCCCGGTTCTGTCGGCCCCCACCGCGGAGAATACACAGAAGTGCAGCCATGACAACCATTCTTCTTCGCTGCTTTTGTGGAGGAAGTTACAGCGCCACGTACAGGTTCGGCATATGTACTGCAGCTTTTCCAGCGTTTGGATGTAAACGGAGCCGTCTCGTGGAGCTTGACACAATCCGGTGTATATTGCGTGGGGACGGGAGGTTTTTTGCGGTTGCATTTGCGTTACTCCGATGCGTTTTGCCGTATTTGTCCTCGTGGAGCCGGGGCCTAATACTGCATGTAGGCTGCACTGATTCACGCCAGCACAGAACGTATGTCTTTGAGGCACTTCCGTGATGAAGAAAATAAATGAAAGACATGAAATCAATCATTATAGGAATCTGTCACCAGCCATGTTAAAATGGATCTCCCAAAAGTGCAATTTTTTCCCGTGCATGTTAATAATTAGGATATTCCCAAGAAGAGCTTGCTGTGGTTAGTCTTTCTATCTTGTGAGTCACTGACCTGACTCTGGTTCTCCTCCACCACCACCTCCTCGCGCCTCTCAAAAGCACGTCGACGACGAGGCTGATAGAACTGAGAGTAGGAGGCGCCCTGGTTGGTGTACATGTGGATATTTCCTGTAGAGAGACACGTGCAGTTTTACAGCATTTACATTTATCAAAAGACAGTGGATCACAGTCCTAAACTGTTGACAGAACAATGTGTCAGACGAAAAACTTGAATGTTAGCTTCCCTACAGCAAGTGATACTGCTCTGCATGAATGAGGTGTGAATGTGTGAATGACTCGTAGTATTTAAAGTGCTTTGAGGGGTCGAAAATGACCTGATCAAGCACTATACTGTAAGTACAGTCCATTTACCATTACACACAACTTTTCAAACATAGGTAAGAACAATTAATCTGAATGTTATCAACATCGAAAATGTATTATTCAGATTGCAGGAGGCAAAATATTTGTGAAAGGTGAAATGTGTTTTAGAATATATATATAGTGCTACATAGATTTCATGGCCAACAACTCTAATTCTACAGGTTTAAAGGGCTTTGTATGTTTATTTCAGCATCATATCTGTATGTAGTGTCTCTCCTGTGAGATGTCTCCATGCTTTAATGTTCAAAAAGCTCTTTATTTTTCTCATACTGCCTGTGTTGCAGCACCTCTTTTCACCCTCTGTCTGAAACCAGAGCCCAGTCTGCTCAGATTGGTTAGCTGGCCGGCTCTGTTTTAATTGTTCAACCTCTGTTGATGTCCCGCCCCTTAACCTATCACGTACAATGTGTCAGAGCGCTAGCCAATAGAATGCGAGTGTTACATAGTGACGTCACTATGTTATAGAAGTAAACAAAGGAATCCAATAGAGGCGTTTCAGAGATAGTCACATGCACACAAATCTACAGGAAATGGAAAACCCCAAAATGCATAATAAGAGAGCACATTTTCATTGAAAATTAGGAAAATAATCATCCCTCTAGTAGTGTGCAGCATCAGTCAAAACAATCCTAAATTAGATTTCTTTTTCAAAATCGTTCCCTCCTTCTCACCTGTGGGAAATCTTCCCCCAAAGAAAATGTTGAAGAGTTCCTCGGGGGAAATGTCGGCCTCGAAGTCTCTGTTGAAGCTTCGGTAGTATCCATGGCGACTGTGGCTGGAGGGTTGGGGTGCGCTGGAAGCAGCAGATTGATCTCCGTATTGATCGTACTGCTGCCTCTTCTCTGGATTGCTCAGCACTGCATATGCGTTGCCTATTGCTGCCGGAAAGAGAGGGAAACATTTGGTTTTAGCATTCATTCAGCCCACAGCAACATAGAAACAAAAAATACAACTGTGAGAAATCCCATAGTATAATGTCCCATAGTAGTAAACCGGAAGTATAATGTTGCCCTGATATTATTTAACTACAGGTGGGAACCTCATTGACCTTCATGGATGCTGAATTATTAATTGGCAGTTCTGATTTGCAAAATGAAACCATGTACAGTATGTAAAGACAATTACTACTGAGTTTATTACTTAAAAAATAAATGTCTCAAATTGTGTTTCATGAATGTGTGTTTAGATTTGACTGAGTTATGAGTAGGGCTTGGAGAAAATAGGATTTTATTGTGGATCGGGATAAAAAAACACTTTGGCTGTAAACCTTCTTTATCAGGATAATCATGAACATCCTCACAAGTGACTTGAAACAAATATTGCTTGCTATCATAGAAGAGAAGTGAAAAAAAGAGAGCCTTATTCATAAAAAACAAGGAATAAACCCAAACTTATCGTGTAAGAAAGAACAGATGTATCTATGCCATATTTCTGCAGAGAGGGACCTGATGTTAAGGGTGTTTAATCTGTGTGTCTCATCTGTTTTTTTTTCTTTCTCCTCCCCATCCCGATCCCACACCGTTTTAAAACGGCAGCCCTGAATATATACAAACAGCTTAACAAAGACTTTCTAAACTAAAACCAACCAGTAAAACGGTGTCACCCAGCCTCAAGCTGCTGCCCTGCCTGTAGTGTAATGTGTAAACAACTACAAGCGAGGCAGTAGTTTTTGAACTGACCTTGACCTCTAAATTAAAATATATATATTTTGTGGGATAAATAAAGGCTCATTATGTCAAAGTACTGTCCAGCAACATGGTCAAAATACTTAAAAAAAAAAAAAAGGCACATACAAAGTCATAGTCACCAATCCCACAGAAAACAATCCCTGCTTTCTCATCTGTCAAAACTCATACCTTTGAAAGCATCCGTAGCTCCTGGAGCAAAGTTCTTGTCGGGGTGAAATTTGAGGGCCAGCTTCCTGTACGCCTTCTTCAAATCCTCATCACTGGCATTTTTGGTAACACCGAGAATTTCATAAAAGTCCTTGCAATTCTTTATCCTGCAATAAAAAAATGTAAAGGTCACCTATTATGCAAAATCCACTTTTTCATGTCTTTTATACATTACATGTTACTTGTTAGACGCTTTTATCCAAAGCGACTTACATACTCAATACTGTGGACAATCCCCACAGGAGCAATTTGGGGTGAAGTGTCTCAGGGACACAACGACATGCTGACTGCAGTGGGGTTTGAACCTGTGATCCCAACACCAAGCCTCTATCCACTGCGCCACACGCCTCCATACATAAACACATGTCCCCTCTGTGTAAAGAGATTCTGAAAGTTTCAGGAAAAAAGATTTGCTCACTTTTTGTCCTGATCCATTTCTAGAAAAAACCTGATCAGATTTTGGCCACTTTATGATGTCATAATGATTTTTTGGCTTGTGTAACCATTAGCCAATCAGCAACCAAGGTAACCCCCCCCACACCTTATCACCTGAATCTCCTCCTAGAGCACCATAGTGTTCTTTTTAACCAAATATCTTTCAGAGGGGTGTGGGGAGTGGCTCCTTATTTTCATCTAAAGTAACAGACAGAGAATCAGCACTTTTGAAACAGGGCTGAAACAGAGGGGATTATGGGATGCTGCAATGATCTGTTTGGTGTTTGGAGCCAAACACTTCAGAGACATGTTTTGTATATATCTGAGACCTATAATATATTGATGAAAAACAGTATAATAGGGGACCTTTAAAACATAGGTGCTTCATGTAACACAGCCAAAGTGATAGGAACAATTAATGTGGTTAGTCTGTCTAAAAACCGTTTTGAGCCACAGTTTACCTGAGAACGCCCTGGCGCTGGTCCTCGCTGTAGCTCTTCTTGTCATCAACACTCGCATGACTTGGTTCCTCGTCTCTTAGGTCCTCGTCTCTCCAGCCGGCTGGCGGGGGAACGTGGTTTGATTGTGGAGCAGCGGTGCCTCCATTCCTCACTATGGCGTCTATTAGCACTATGGAACAAAAACACAGTGTCTGATGTCAGCTGACAGATCAGATGGGAATGGAGAAAGATGGCTGAGAAAGCTTAAAGCAGAAAATACAGGTTGCCAACCAAAATGTACAGTATACAGATGGATGACAGTTTAAAAAGGAAAACCAACATTAAGTAACCGAGTTAGGCATTTGGCCACCACAAGACTCCAGAACAAAATACTCTTTGACTACTTCTGTTACTCTAATGAAACACTGTTCTTCATAGTGGTGGAGGGGGGTTGTCACATTGCTCCCAAAATCTCCCTTTAGTGATTACAATCTGGTGGTGGCCAACTTAATTATTCACATCATTTTCATATTCAAATCATCCCTGGTTCCTTCTGCTGTGTGTTTAGGCATGTGCTCATGTTTCCCCACTGATTTCCGGCTTTTGAAGAAATACAAATGGATCCATTTAGATATATTTCCTTTGCACTGTATATCAAAAGCCTTTCCCTACTTGCACCACAAGTGGAACACTTGTCCAATGGAACAAGTTGGCATTTAACTGCCTCATGAACATTGTGTACAAAGAGATCCAGGAATTCTACGAAAGCATTAATATGCTGGCTATGATGCCATTACTGAAAAGCTATTAGGCAAGATAAACAACATGAGTCGCACTCGCAGTCAGATTTTAACATTGCCCAACAGTGTGTTCACAGAGAGGGGGGGAGGGAGCATTTTAGCAGGCAGCCTACAAGGACTATGTATTGAAGCAAGACAGCCTCTAAAAATAGTAGTTCAGTGCACCCATCTTGAATTATGTTAAATAATGTTTGTACAGTTAATCCTCGGGGTAAGTTAGCACATTGAGCCATGTTAGCTAGTCAGTGTGCTATTGCAGAATGTGCGTCAGCTAATTTTACCTCTGGCCCGGGTGCTGGGGTAAATATTCTGGGCTTCATAGAGCAGCTGCAGAGCCCGATCTTTCCGTCCTGACCGTAAACACAGCTTCGCCTTCTCTATCAGCCGGTCTGCTTCTTCTTTGTCCATTGCAACGTATTATTCTGCTGATCCAATCGCTGTCTCTAGAGGTCTGTCCCTGTGCACTGAGAGTCAATATCATATGGTAAAGCGACCCGCTGCAGCTAACGAGAGATAGCCGATTAGCTTTGGTGTCAGGCAGCTGCGTAACGAGGTGCAGTCACTCAGAAGTCCTCCGCACTATCCGGTCTGCAGACGGCTGTTGTTCGGCTGCAAACAGGCCTGCAGCTGGGCCATTATTTTAAAAGATAAAGGTAACAAATGCACTGTTTTGCTGTCTGTTTTTATTAAGCGCTGTTTAGCAGGCCACCCTGTTAAATGTAACTCTGGACCCACTGAGCTGTGATGGACAAGAGGTGGAGGCAAGACGTCATATCCTGTGGCGTAAATCTGTGAAATCTGTATAAATCCGCCCTTATATTGACTTTAAATGTCATTTACTTGGTTATCAGTTAATAATATGGTATAGACATATAGTGTTTATATACCGCTCCTTCACGCTTCACCCATCTATTAACTAACGGTACTTGGTTTAAAAAACCCAGAGAGTTGAGTAACATTAGCAGGTGTAGCTGATGCTGATGCAGCATTCATGGTCTTTCATTTAAATACGTAAACCCCATCATTGGTTGTGGTGCATGGAATATGATACACAAAACAGACCTAAGATTATTATTATTGGTGTTTTATATGTATTTATTTATCCATTCAGTGGCTTATTGCCTGCCTTTGATTGTCATGGGACAATGCAATGACAACAGAGATGTAATGGATATTTTTAAACGTTTAATTAACTGCTACAATCAACCAACAAAACTGCATATTTAGCGAATGGATACCTCTGAAAAACTGGTGATTGACATGAAAGGCAGTCTAGGTTATTATATTACATTTAAGATACTAATGCACAAGTCAATTTAAAGTGTAAATATTCTTGCTTGGTTCACAATTTACATAATTTAAGATTCGTAGAAGTACAAATTGCATCAGTAAATTAGAAACCATTCAACACATTTTTGTTCATGCATATTTTATTCAAGAGTAAAAAAATGTGATTTTGTCCCATAGGGCATGCTTACAATGTGTGTATCATTTAGGAAGTCAAATGCCAAAACATATTTCCATAGGTAATAAAAAATGTTGCAAGATAAAATCCATTATATTTGTTTGTTGAAATATGCATGTAGACCATACAAGAACCAGAAACAGAGGAAGGAAAATAACCATAAGCTAAATTGTAACAATAATAATATCAGCAGTAAATATAACCAGAGTACAATGTTTCCTGTTTAACGTAAGTGCGACACACGATTTTCTTTGAGTCCGATTCATTTACATTTGAAAACCATGCTATCATGCTTAGGCAGCCTGAAAGTTGCTTTTCACTGAGATTATATTCATTCACACTATTGAACATTTTCTGTACATCAGTACAACCAAAAAAATAAAAATAAACACAAGGATTCAAACCTTAGAAGGGCATCTCTGCATACAATAAATCAATATAAAAATTAAAAGCAGTGGTAATAAATAACAGAATGAAAAAAATGAAACAATCAAAGGAAGCCTATTTATAAAATGTATAAAACAAGACAAATCAAACTACAAATGTAAATAAAAAATAAAAATAATTCAAGTTCACTATTTGAAACACAACTATCACAATTATAATCTCACATAACAATTAGGAACTTAATTGCATGCATTGATGCGTTCCGTACCATAGATGCTGTGTTTAAAATCACTTTTTGTCCATCCTTAATTCACATACCTTTATCATTAAATAGAAAGATGACATAGAAATTAGAAAATATATTAATGGATGAAAGGAAATTGTAGAAATTCATGTTGCACACTTTTTTGGGCTTCACAACTTTTGCCATTCTTTTATTTTGAAAGAACCAGAATATTTCCTGTTTTAATTGTTTCTTTTCTCTTCCTCGATCAGTTATTTGGACATGGGAAAAGTTATTTTATTTCAATCTCAAGTGTAGGTGTACCCATTTCCCCCCTGTACTGCACAGTTAAATTAGATTAGATAAGAAAAAGATAATTGAGAAATAAAAAAATGATATAACACATTTCGATGTGGGTGAATTGTTAACCAAAAGCCCTGTCTCTACTGTGCTAAATAGTCATGAAGGATGTACTCCTGACAACTTTAAATTAATCTAAGCTACATTTTAGTGAACAAAAAACTACATTTCGGTCAGGATGCATTCTTCAAATCCTTAAGATGCATTTGTCCAGATGGATCTAATTAGCTTATTCCAAATAACATGGGTTGTTATATGATCTTTAAACAAAGCATGAATGCATTCACAAATTTGTAGAATTTCCTTCTCACTCTGATATAGTACTTTATAGCTCTTAAGCATGAAATCTCATTGAATTGGCAGCACAGCAGAAAGTGCAATAACTCAAAGGGCGCTAACGTATACTTGATTCGGATGCACGTAATCTTTTACCGTCTCTTTAGCAACAAGCAGGTGAGACATAATCAGGTAGTGTGTGACAGCAGGGTTTGCCCCAAAGTTCAAAATCAATTCTTCTCCTTTTCTCTCTGTGGTCCAGAAACAGGTGTTAAAGCCGTTTCGTTGTCATAGCAATGCAGAGATGAGAGAAAGGCTCCTTCAGTGGAGGATGCTCGAGTGTATACTTTCCAGAAGGTGTGCGAGGTATAGCTTGATCAAATGCCATGCTTCTCTCAGGAGAACTACTTTAATGGAGCGGAAGAAAACTATTTAAGGATGGTCTTGATAAAAATAAAACCCTTTGAGATTCCCCCTATGGACGTTGATGAAATTGTATCCTTAAATGGGATAGTGTGCTCCTTTTTGGAGGCATTTCCAGATCTTGGTGTTTCCAAGTGGAACTACTTTTTCCAAATGCTCCTTTCATCCCCTCCCTTTTCCCTCGTCCCCTCCAAGTGACTTCTTGCTAGGAGATGACTGATAATGAGGGAGGCGAGGAAAGGAGCAGTGCTGGATTTGATTGAAGTGTACACAAGGAGCAGTGGCTTTGTGAGTCTTCTTCCCCCTGCAGGATGACGGCGTCGTACTACAAGGTAAATCAATAAGTTTAGTTTCACTGGTAAGCTTGCACTGCAGGTTTTTAAAGAGGTTCACATTGATATTCTTTCTTTTATCTTTCCTTCTCACAAAGTGGTGTTAATACTAGCAAAACATGAATTTGTGAGTGATTAATAATAAACACTTTATGATACAGTAACATGATCTGTGTGGCATGGATACTGCAATTATGTCTTCTGCCAGGCTCTGTAATGAAGGAGCAGACGTTTGTCAGCACTCAGAATAACACAACCCCCAACAAGTCAGTCTTGAATTGAACTGAGAAAGGGAACAACAGGCAGAAACAACTTTCAACCGATCCGTTTTCAACCCAGCTGCAGCCTTGTGGCCTCCCTTACCCCTGCCCTCCGCTGAACCCCCCCCCCCCCCCCCCTCCCCCAACTGTGCGATGACATACTGTCATGAAAGAAATGACCTTTTTCGCCCGTTTAAGTTTTGCTGCAGATTTTCATGTTCTGTCTGTAGGCCTGGTTTATTTCTATGTTCTGAGGCCTGAATTCCCCTTTTGGCAATGTCTTGCTGCACAGCGAACAGCAGCATTGTTCTGAGGCTCAGACAGCACATCACTGGATGTCGCTGTTGTCATCCGTGCCGTTTGCCTCGGACATATTCATCTTTCCCATGGAGTGACCCACGTGGTTCACCCCGTCCTTGCGAGGCGGCATGCGCTCGTTGATGCGGTCCAAGCCCTTGGCCTCCGCAAAGCTGGCGATCTTGTGCTGGGGGGAGAACCCACGGATAGCTAAAAAAAAAAAAGAGGACACATAAATGGATCAGAATCAGCTTGTAATGTCTTAGAGCATTTTTTTAAATCATGTCTTGTTAAACTGTATATTATCCCCAAGATATATCAAATGCTGTTGGGATTTAACAGGCAGTGAATCAATTGCAATTAAGAACAAAGAAGCATATTTCAACAGTCAATAGTGATTTTCTTTGTTTGTTTTTTTACCCAGTGTAGCATACTACCAGTTAATGATGTTCAGTTATCTCTGCAACTAACATTATTGATATAGCAAAGTAGAAGCTGCTGCATTTTTATTACTTGCCCTCAGATTTCCTCCGTTTGGGAAAAGCCTGAGAAAAAGTCTCCAAACACATAAAAACTAAAAAATACACACACAGTTTTACCTACCTTTGTGAAGAATACAATTCTCAACAAACAGTGTTTAAAAAAAGTCAACCCCCCTGCTAGTTCATACAGAAATGTGCATGTAAAAAGATAAAAATAAAGTGTGTTAGTACTGCAAATAGCTCTCTCGTACCGAAGCTTTTGAGTAGTGAGCAATGATTACCTCAGACATATCACGAGGAACTGAGGCTTCAGGATGCATATTTCATGTTGATGCTGTTCTCTTTCTTGTTCTCGTGCATGCAACACTTTTTTTAGAACCAGATGGAGGCCATTTAGAAGCCAAACCAAAAAACAATGAAGTCTTGTATCATGCGTTTCGTAAGCAGCACTTGACCTTGCAGTGTTTTCAATTTGTCATGAAGTTGTCCTGTGAAATGTGGCTTGACGGAGTTATTGTTAATGTGTGGGATGTTGTGTGGGATGTTGTGTGCATGAGGTGTTTCTGGAGGAAGCCCTGACAGTATGTGGGTGGGAGATGGACCGCAGGATTACCTTCTCCGTCCTCATCAGTCGTCTCCTCGATTGCTTCAATGGCTTCAATGGTGGCTGGGGGGGGAGGAGGGGAGCAGGTTATTAAGCCATGCAAATGTAAAAAAATGCAGCCCCAGCGAAAGAAGGCGGCTCATGTTAGGCCGGATGACACATGTTAACTGGCATCGCAGCCAAACTCAGAGGAAGGCCATGCATCAACACTGAGAGAATAGGTGTCAATCTCGGGTCAGATATGAAATATAAAAAAAGATAGATCCATAGAGGAAGAGAAAGTGGGACAGATATATTGAGACGGAGATAATAGGTTGAGGTGAGACTCTAACAGATCTACTGGTTCTGGCTTTGAACCACATATTTCAGGACGATTTCACAACTGCAAGTAACTGATCCCACAAACAGTAATGGATCCCACTAAGCTTTTTTGCCCATACACTATAATTGAGTTAGAGATAGCTAAACTTAAAATAAATAAACACTTTAGACACAGAATCAAATGGTATTTTTGTTAGAGTTGAAGCTATAACTCAAAAGTGAGTAAATAATAGACTTGATAAAGTTAAATTAAATTAAATGGGACTTTAATTGGATTTCAATGTTATGCTAATTTGTAGGTTCATATTTGTATTTTGTGTCTCTAATGCTTTAAT